CTTTATATATACAGTCTATGGTTGAATCCCAAATAAATGATCTGCTTGCTAACGCTGCTGGAGCTGCTAGGGAGGGTGTAGCAGCAGGACCAGTTGGGACAGTCAGTTTAAATTGGGCCAGCGTAACCAGGATACTGAGGAGTGTGAGCTTTCTCTTCCTCTGGCTTTAAGCAAATATTGACTGGAGAGGCAAATAGGCTCTCAGGTAAAGAATGACATGTTGGGCGGGCTCTCAGATAATGTCCCTTGTAATATGATGATCCCTTTATGAGATTTAAAAAGAACTAAGGGGATTTACCAAGGAAACAAAAACATTATTATGTGAATAGTTTGCATTAGGGATGAAAAGGTACTACATATATGTTTATCAAACTTTAGCCTAAGAATTAGTGATACAGAAGGCAGTCATGCTTTAGTGTGGGACAAGCTATTCAGTTTCAAAAAGAGAATTAGCAAGAGGCACTATGCAAATGTACTTTTAATTACAAGACATATGAGTTATATCGGACAAGTCATTATTGGTGATTTATGGTTTTGCTTTAATCTTGGGTCATATGTATACATACACATTTACAGTTCGAATCACTTTAGTTCTTCTTTATTGTGACTTTATTTCAACAGGTTATCTCATTGAGACATGGGGTCTCATTCTCAAGAGAGAATCACGCTTATTTTCTTCATATAAACCTATTTGGGGATTTTTTTCAAAAACAATTAGTTCATGCTTAATTGATCAGGGAATGTAATCAATGACGTGAGTGAAATGTGTTTTGCAACTGTAAATCTGGATGTAGATGTTTTTTCAACGAGATTAAGAACGCAGCTTTAGCTTTGCTTTCGAAAGACAGCTTTACCTGTAATGTAAAATGGCAGTTTACTCTCTTGTAAGGTGAAAAAGTGTATTTGTAAAACCAAAATTATCAATTTATTGTCTGGAACCCAAACCACTTTGACTTGTCATCAAAAAGCCAGATAAAAAACAAAAAAGTGGTAATTTAAATTAAACAGAAAACTGAATGGAAGATGTACTCTTTAACATTATAAATGTAATGAATGGTAAAAGTGCGTTGGCTGAATATTGCATCAGAGCATCCACATAGCAGATGGCCCATATCAGATATCTGGTGTACGTGTGTTTGTGTGTGGTTAATGTTTAGTTAATGGTTAACATAACCTCCCATTAAGCCCATCTCTCTGCTCCCCGGTGCTCGCCTGCAGCTTCACTTTGTGACGTAGGAGATGGACAGTAATGAATAGGCCCCCAGTGGAAAATACATCCTGTCAACATGAATGTGTTAACGGGAAAATGATTAGCGAAAAAGGCACCGAAGGGAGATAGAGAGATTATCATGCCTGTTGTTGTAAATGTCAACATTTTCAGTGCGTTAGATATGCTATCTCCCAGTTCAAACAGGCACATAAAGGCGAGTATAACCGCAGGCTGAAATAAAGAACAGTAAATAACCATCACTTGGACAGTTCCCAATGACAGTTACGGCTTTATCAGTGTCGTTTGCAGTATCATTATTGACCCCAACAGAGGAAAGCAGGTTTAACAAGAACATATGGAGTATTAAGACTGGGATTCGTTATCTTGCTTTAAAGAAAAACATTTCTGTGAAAACAAGAAAATACATATTGGATTTAAACTGGATATTTTTAATTCTATGAACTTTGATGATCTCTGATCCAATCAACAATTTCCCCTTTCTATGCTTTTCGTTGCTTGACACACCTATTAAACAAATAATCCTTAAAAATTGCAACTCAAAGGAGTTAAGAAATACCTGGAACAGTCATAACCTATCTAATTTACCTTTGATAAATGATTGTAACTCCAGTAGTCAGATGTCATGTTGTCCAAGGCTGGCTTTGTTTGGAGCATTGTCTGCTGCCAGCTGTATGCAAATAAGGCTATTCAGTGAAAATCCTGTACACCTGGTGCTTCAGTTGGTGTAACTACGCTGCTATCAAGTCATCTTAGACAAAGCAATGGTTATGAGTCATGACCTCATGGCTAATGTGTTTTTGTTAACATGTCTACACTTTTTATTTATATAAGATTTATAAGACTTTCAAGACTTGTCTTACCTATTTTGGAACCCTATAACCTCCTTAAACAAACTTTAAAAGAACCCAACCAAAAAGCACCCTCCCTTGTTTGTCTGAACTGAGACTTGACAATTTTAGCAGCAGTGATGCTCCCATGAAAAACAAACTTTGTGTCTTTTTCCAGTTGCCAACCCGTACCTGCGTAACGCGAGCCGAACGAACAAAACTTAATCTTCAGGTATTGTACGTGAGGCTCAACGTGAAGCAAATACGGACATGAAAAAGTCACAAAAACCACCAGTGTGTCACGATGATCCAGAGAGGTGGAAACAGCTGTCTTCATCGCTGTTGGGTAACCTTTGGAAGAACATTTGGAAGAAGTTAGAACACCAAGAAAATATTCAAATTGGTAAGAATGGAAGGAAAGTAGGAGTCAATGAAAAGCAGCCTACCTTTAGGAGAAGAAGAAGAAGAGCGGTGGAGGCCAAAATGCTCAAGCTTGGTCAGGTTTGGCTCACCTTTTACGCGCACTGCATGTGTGCGGTTTGTGACAGGTATACACCTTTTATACCTCTACATGTTCTCTCTCGCTCTCTCTCTCTCTCTCTCCCCACCCCTCATGGATGAACCAACAGAGAGGATCCTCAGGGCGCTCACGGACACCTGTCGCACGGTGCGTTGCTCTGATCCAATATTGACATAAAGGGGGAGGGGTGTGTGTGTGTGTGTGTGTGTGTGTGTGCGTGTCTGGCACACGCACACACACACACACACACACACACACACACACGCACACACACACACACACACACACACACACACACACACACCATGTACCTACCCACCCATTGCCTCCATCTAAAACACCCTCCCTCCCTCCCTCCCCCTCCTCCTCCTCCTCTTTGCTGGGCAACGTGTCTGACCTTTGTGCCTGCGTTGATGTGTAAAAAGGCGCATTGTAACGTCGCTACCTGCCGACTCAATTCAGCGCCTGTTCATGCAATATTTCCATATCATATGCCTTGCAAATGACTCTCTGCTGATGGGTGGCTCACTTTGTCTGACAACTTTGGAAACATGGCTCCATGTGGAATCTTCCAGGTGTTGTGGAGGGGAAATGCTCAGGGTTCAAACTGCCATTTAAAGGGAGATCCACCCTAATGAGGTGAACAGTGATGTAGCCAAAAAGATGTCCCCAAACAGGAAATCAGGGGATTAAAACTTGAATTAATGATAACATCAGCAATTGAGATGGAGTGGTGCAGAAACAAGTCTTAAAACCCGGAAATAACTTTTAACACTTCCGGTTCCCTCGTCTCGAAGGTCAATGTTTTATGAAAGTGTTTGTGGTTAGACGTCTTAAAAAATATCTATTGTTAAAACATAGATGGTTTAACATAAAATATGTCAGTAATTACCCCACACATGAATGTCCGAAGCTTCTATGTGTCATGAAAACGGTGGTTGCTAACAAGTGGCTAAAAGAGACAGCAAAACGTCAACATGCTCACACAGGAACGCCTTTAGCTCAGCGAAGGTATACGCAGCCATGCAACAGTGAAGTAGCCCATTTATAGCCTAGCGTTAACTTTACCTCTGCCAAAAAATCACAAAGTAGCGGTAATATTATCCTGCCGAACAAAACGTGGCAAGTATCATGAATGTGTGTTTGCAGTGATTATTTTCTATTTGACCAGAATCCAATCAGAAAGTCTCATTGCTTTATTGTCAAGGCACATTTTGCGAAGCTAACTTCCGGGTCGGCCTCCAAACCCTAACCCTAACCCTACGTCATCACTACACCACTCGGTTGTCTTAAGTTAAAGGCCTGTAAACCGAAAGTAATTAATGATGGATAATTCTAAATGATTGAATAGTCGGAACATTCAGTGTGCATGGATTGTTAAATCACTCAGAGAGAACAATATTGGTGATTGAAATGAACAAATATAGTTAGCTAACTGATCAAAACCTCTTACATGCAACATGAACAATGACAGCGAACCAATCAGAGCTCTTGTGACTGCTCTGCGGCTTATACCTTTTATTTCTGCAAACTTACTTGCATGTCTTTGATTGAAGGGACAGTCTTTCAATTTGACAGATACAACCCTCTATTGACTCTTTATTGGTCATGATAAGTGCTGCTCATTGTGAAAACTGACTGATCTTTACAAAGTCTTAAAAAATGATTTTTTTTACTTAAAGGGGACCTATCATGCAAAATGCACTTTTGTACGTCTTTTATACATGAATATGTGTTCCCGGTGTTCCAGGGAACTCACCAAGTGTCAGAAAACACGACCCTCTCTATTTTCCTCCATACCCAAATCTCTAAAAAAGGGGCTGCAACGGATCTGATAAAAACTGATCCAGATTTGAACACTGTCCTGACGTCAGGACAGTGGCGCTACGGCTATTGGGCCAACTCCACCAATCAGGAGGAGACAGCCACGGCCATTGCCGTTCGAAAGCACTGGAGACGCTGTAGTACATATGCCAGGCCTGTAGATGGTGCTGTTCTCACATAATCAGCCCTTGCAAAAACAGAGCTAACATTTTTCAAATTGAGCGAAATGAGGCATTATAGGTATTTAAAAAAAAAAAAAAGTATAAATATGCCTTATATGGTATGGTCCTACACTATATTATTATAATATAGCATGATAGGTCCACTTTAAGTTTGAAAGAAACAAGCTTGTCCAATAAAGGATTGCATTATGGGAATTGTAGTTTGACTAATGAAAATTAAGAGTATTACTACGTTGTTTAGAATTTGTCATGAGCTGAAAATGCCTCACCATTCAAGGATATCCAAATTGTGAATGAAAAACTGATATTAAATGTCATCTGACTTCTTCACAGAGAACATCATTATAAAAAAATCTTCATTACAGAAAATATGTATGTGTACATTAAGGGATCCATATTAAACAAAAACTTTGGGAAAAGGTTTTTCAACACAATGTTTATTGGAAATATTCCGTAATACTTAAGACATTTTATTGCTTCTTTTAGTCATATGAAAGTACATGGAGGGAAAAAGCCAAACCAGGTATCAATGTATAAGAAACTTTAAATGTAACCATTAAATCAAGAAAACCATCTCCCTGCATGTAGGCCTAATGACAGCACAACTGTCGTGGCTCTAGGACACATTTACAAAACGTTTAAATGTTGGTGTCACAAATGGAAAACAATGATCTCTTTAATTAACAGAACTTGTTTTTTAACTTTCTTTTTAGAGACGGACAATAAACAATGCAGAACAACTGGGATCATTCACGCTAACTGAATTTTTATCTCTTTGGACAAAAAAATGGATGTCACCTCAGTAAGTTACACAATATGGACGGCAAACATAGGACTCCATCAAATTGTCTAGAATAACTAGACCGTATTAGGCCTTCTCTCATCTTGTAATTTAAACAATCTGATAGTCCAGACGTGTATCATTGGAACAGGTCGTAAAATAAATATCAAACACTGTTCAAATGGACCACAAGTTGTCAAAAATAGGGTATTTCAATCAATTAGGCAAATCAAAAGCCATCATTTTTAAGTTGACCTGTGAAATTAATTAATTTAAGTGTTCAAAGCCAAAGGGAAATTGGGAGTACAACAGCAAGCAAAACGTACCTATTCTAAATAATGCACCTGATAATACTGAAACATTTCCCCAAATACGTTTATACCTGACCCGAGATTTGCAGTTTATTCATAGGAAGGAATCAGAAGAACACCGGTAAAGCAGCATAATGAAAATAGGACAGAATCAAAAGAGTGCATTAACATTAGCTCCAAAGTAAAGTGTCCAAATCCCCACAGCAGCCAGGTACGTCCTGCAAAAGTCTACATATGTTTCCATGTATACAATTAGTGCACCCTGGTGTTCCTCGGAAATGAAAAAGAGAAGGTCTTCCCACAGAGTTCCTTAATTGCGGCAGGTTAAGTTAAAAATAAGACATATTGATGCCTCCCTAACTCCTATTGGCCGCTCTGGCCAAGTCTCTTTGTGTACGCCTTCCAGCCGCACTTCCTGTATGATTCAGCGGCTGTCCGCCTATCAGGGGCCTCCAGGATACCGCGGCCCACGATGATGACATCAGAGCCTTTGTTGCAGAGGACTTCCTCTGGCGTGGTGTACTGCTGGCCCAACCCATCACCTGTGAGAGAGGGGTGGGAGAGAAAGGGTGAGGAGGGGGGATAGAGAAAGGGTGAGGTTGTCATTGAGTATGAGGAGGAGTATAGATGGAAGTGCATAGCAATCATTTCTGGTACTATAGCTCCTCCTGGTGTTAAAGAGGAATAACTACATTGGAGGAAAAACAAGTGCTTAAAAATGCAACAGGAGAAAATACGAGTCCTTCTTAAAGTAATCGGCAATTCAGTTGAGTTGTATGCAAATGTCATTTTGTAGACGAGAGGTTTGTTTTTAGCAATACACACAAAATAGCTAACTGAGTAAAAAGCTAAATGAAAGTCAAAGTTACCTCCAGCCTTCATCTGCACCCCGGGGGTCATGTGGATGAACTCTGGCCTCTTTGTGATCTTAGAGCCACAGATGAAGCCAATCACAAAGTCTGAGTGGTCCTCGGCCATCTTCAGCTGTGGACACAGATAACAGATTGTAGATTAGAGAACCCTGACTGATGCCCTCTGCACTGTATTAGAGTTGCAGAGACATTGCTTACCGCAGCCTGGGTGTACTCCCCAGTAGCCAGAGATCCCTGGGAGCTCATCTGTGCTATGAGCAAGCAGCCACGGCCCAGAGGCTTCCCTACAGCACCGAGGCCCTGCACCACCCCGGGGCCCGGCACCACGTGGGCATTCACTATGTGGGACCAGGATGAAATCTGGTACACCCCACCTGGGGGAGAAAAAGTCACAGATTTTAGAGCTGCTAATGGTCTGGTTCCTAGCAATTTGTCAGTATTGCTTTTAAATGATGAACCTTTTAGAAAGCTCAGGTCTTCTGGTACTGCGCCTTAGTTCATAGCTAAAGAAAAATGTAGAGAGGCGTCTTTTTATTATTACAGCCTCCAACAAGCCTGAGGGTGTTCATCATTTTAAGAGCCAGCTCAAGATGAATTCTCTTGCACTATTTTATTTCTACTATGTTTCTTTTAGCATACTGTTAAAATACTTACAATAGACACAAGAAAAAAGTTATACGTTTTTGAAAAATAAGCTCAATCTAAATTACCATCATACTGATGCTTGACTGTGTTTCCAATGTCAGCGAACTTGCGATCTTCGAAGATGAGGAAGTTGTGTTTCTCAGCCAGAGCCTGCAGTTTCTGATTGAAATCCGCTGTGTAGTCCTGTTATTAGACAAATGAATAAACATATGTTAATGTCATGCAACCAGTTTAAATCTAACTCTAAATAAGTGTCTTGGTTTTTTTGTATCCCCTATATATATATGTTTATTTTTGTATGTCCTTTTTTTTTAAAACAGCTTTAAGATGAATGGCATGACTGTCTCTTGTTTCATTTAAACTGTATGTGAGAAATTGTTGGTCTGCTTTTTAACAAAGTATGTTTGGACAAACTAATTTTCAGTTTATTTGTATAATAAATATTTCAGCTGTTATTATTTCCTTTTTAACTTTAAAACTCATCTGAGATTTAAGGCCTTTATTTGGTTTGTTTATTATGTTCTAAATCTCAGAATAAACCGTCAGTATTCTTCGTGTTCAGTATGGCCTGGTCTCACTGACCTTCAGGATGTCTACGTGGGTCTTCAGGATGCAGACGAGGGGGCCCAGGGAGTCTGCGAGCTGCAGGAGCTCCTCGCTGCTTGTCAGGTCTAAGGACACACACAGGTTGGAGCTCTTCTCCTCCATGATGTTCAGCAGCTTCGCCGCCAGAGGGTGGACGTCTGCAGACAGGAAGGGGAGAAACTGGATGAAGAGCTTTTTATCAACATGCAATTTGCACCAAATGACACTACATCTAAATGATATGACTTGCAGAAATGAAGAATAACAATGTAAAAAGTCCTTAAAAAAAGATAATTGAAATGAATGAAAAGGCTGGAAGGGTTTTTTCTTTGAAGTTGGAAGACACCTTGCAAAGAAATATTGTTAATATGCATGTTTTGTTGATCTTTAATAGCATTTCCAGTATTGTATATTGCATGTTTTTAGTGATTGTATTACTTGTTATTTTAAATGAAAGATTTGTTTAGGGTGACGTACAACATCTGTCCAGGACTAGAGATGAAAAATAGCCTCTTTGCTACATCTGGCACATTTACAGAAATGTTTATTAATGTGCCGTCTCCCTTTTAAATAAATAAATGCTTGAAAGTCTACATACTTGGTAGTTTGGCTCTCTCTGCGTAGCTCAGCTCCGTCTTCTGCTCCAAACACAGCTTTTTGGTCGCAGAAACTCCATTGTTGTTCTCCTTCTTGGGGCTGAAAGAGGAGAGGAAGTAGAAAATGTTAGCAATAAGGTGTGAATTAAAAACACAACACCTATCCTCGCCATCTTAGTTTGGAAAACGTTTGGACTGTACCTGAAAGTGTTGTTGTCCAGGATGAACTCGCGGACGCTCTGCGCTGTTTTGGCGTCGATGCGCTCGGCTGCCAGCAGCACGTTGAGCAGCTTGAACATGGAGATGATGGAATGGAGCCGAATGCCCTTAGAAGCCAACATCTCCACACCGCCCTGCTCTCTGTTCATCAGCACCACGGCATCCGTCACCTAGAAGGGGAAAAAAAAGATGGTTGCTGCACTTGGTTTCATTATTACAGTACTTGATGACCTCTACAGTGATAATTCAGACAAGTCATGGTTTCTACTGTAGTTTCTGATTCTGTACCTTCAGACCCCCTGCGTAGAGCACTTCAGCGGTCTCCTGGATGCTGCTGCCGCTGGTCACAGTGTCTTCAATAATCAGACATATATCCCCCTCCCGAAATGAGCCCTCCACCAGACGCTTGGTTCCTAGAGGGGTTACATAAGGAGCATTATTAGTCCCTATTCAAACAAACTAACAGCAACTGCACAATGGCCATAATTTACTTACCTACAATCAAATCATCCCTCAAAACTGAAAAAAGCTTTTATTACCATTAGTCATAGACTATAGTGCCTCTTATCTTATACACTTTTAAACAAAATTAGCAGGAATATACCGGTGTTTTTAATATGGGAAAACCTGGTTAAGAATAGGGCGTATACTGCTAATAGAATGCCAGTAGACGAGTATGCTGGCACAGACAAAAGTCACAAAGTGCTTGACAAAACAATAAGTACAATGATCAATGAACACACAAGCCACATGCAGGGTTCATACACTTTTTCACCAATGATTTTCAATGACTTTCCACGACTTCTCCATGACCTTTACCAAATTTTCCATGACCAAAAAAAGTACTCTTTCTGAGCGGTACCACATGGAAGAGGAAAATAAGGTCTGCATATGAAACATGTTGTGCCTATCCAAAACAAATCAAATAGGCTTACTAGCTTCTACACGCTAAAGCAACTAAAATCTCTCACCAGCAAAACACCTCGACAGTTAAATGCCATTTTATGTTTAATTACTATACAGTATGTATTATCATTATAGTATTACTAATTCGGCGATTAGATAAAATATAAATTATATTTGATGCAATTTTAGTTACATTTCCATGACTTTTCCAAAACTTTGGGAAAAATATTGTTTTCCATAACTTTTACAGCTTTTTAATGACCGTAAGAACCCTGCACATGATAAGAAGTCATAATAGCACCAGAACTTAATTAAGACACAATAAAAACACAATAAATCAAAACTTACAAACGAAATTTAAAACAAAATAAAAACAAGCACACCGGTTACCCAAACGCCTGCCAAACAGGAATGTCTTTAAAATAGTTTTAAAAGAGTCAACAGTGTCCGCAGACCGTAGATGAGCAGGCAGAGCATTCCATAGTTTAGGAGCGACAGTTGCGAACGCTCGATCACCGCGGGTCTTAAGGTGGGTACGTGGGACAGACAGTCAATTTTGCCTGTGAGACCTGAGTGGGCGGGCTGATGTATAAGGATGAATGAAGGCCACATAAGCAGGAGTCTGACCGTGCAAAGCTCTGTAGGTGAGAGTGAGGATTTTGAACTTAATCCTATAGGCTACAGCAGGGGTACTCAAATACAAATCTTAAAAGGTCCAAACATTTTTTTTTCAATAAGACAAAGGTCCGTTTATCACGGTCATTCAAACTTTTAAACAATTGCAACAAGATTCTTAACACGAGGTTGCAAAAACAAAAATAATCTGTATGCAGCAGTTTTCATTGTTATTGTGTCTGTGCTTGATCCCTCAGAGTCGCAGTGTAAGAGCAGCACAGTTATGAATAAAGGCAGCTGCACCCTCTTTCATTCAGCATTCCCATTATTGCTTTATAAATGTCTTGCCCCCTTGTGTGTCCACTGAGGTTTGTCAGGCCCAACACATCTTCAACAAACTCCCCCTTTGCCTCATCATAAAAACTCACAAACACCAGCAACTGAGCATTGTCAGTGGTGTCAGTGGACTCATCCACAGCTAAGGAAATGCACCGTGCATTTTTTATTCCATCACAAAGCTGATTAATCAAATCACCAGCCAGTATGCATGTTCTTCTGGTTGCTGTGGAACCTGAGAGGGGGATTTGCTTGATTTGACCTGTTATTTCCTCTTTTTGTTTGCCTTCAAACAGGGTCTCCATCACTTCAGTCATGCATTCTTTGATACTTCAGTTATTATCCAGTGGAATGTCCTTACCTACTGGCATAGTTAAATCAAAGTGGTTACTTTTTTTTGGCTGGGCAGTGTAGTTTTACACACCGTCTTATTTTACTTTCTCAGGACTTAAAACTGTTTTTTGGGGGCAGACCCCCACAAAGAAAAAAATATATTTACACACGTAAGGTCATCATCTTAACAGTTTTGTATGCTCATCCGTGAGCAGAGCATCAAGTTGACATGTCTATTACAGCTGAATGCGGCGATTACCATCTTGTTCAGCAACACGCCTCACAAACTTATTAAGATCAACAGCTTTAGTGCGTTTTGATTAAATGCTGAGTACAGCCAAACTTGACAGTCTCTTCTCTGTCATTGTAGACCGCAAATACCTCATTCCTTCAGTACTTGGGTCCGAATGCTTCTCGTTTTGCGCCGTACCGTTCAAATGAAATCGCCGCCAAATATATGTCCACGCTCGCGCCAGGGCCGGGGGAGGGGTTACAAGACGTGCGTCTTGTGCTGCATTCACTTGCACTCGGACATTAGAGACTTTCTCTCATAAATGTCCGATGAGCCACAACTTTTCTTTCAAAACAAAGCTGCCAACTGGGGTGGCAAGGCCTATTTTTAGGGTGGCAGTTGCCACCCCGGTAGGTGAAACTAGGCTACTAGCTACAGTACAGATGCAACTAGATGAGCTGTTAACTCTCGCTCTGACTTTTTTTAATTTTTTTTAAACACACACTCATTTTTCCCACCCGCATTCCGCAAAGACCCGCCCTACTGTGCCTCTGATTCGCAGACTGTTCGTGGGGGAAAAAAACACTGACGGGATGCTGAATGTGATTGGACCAATGCGTTGACAGACACCCCAAGACCGAGCCCTGCGGGACACCACAGGACAGTGGAGAGGAGTCGGACACATAGTCTCCAATTGAGACGGTGAAACTTCTGTCGGCAAGATATGATGCAAACCAGTCTAATGCTATGCCAGATATGCCCACCCAGACACGTAACCTCTTGATCAGGATATGGTGGTCTACAGTGTCAAACGCAGAACTTAGGTCAATAAGTACTAACACAGAGCAATCACCCACATCAGAAGCCATCAGGATGTCGTTAGAAACCCTCAGGAGAGCCGTTTCAGTAGAGTGCTTTTTCCGAAACCCTGACTGGAACTTATCGTAAATATTGTGCCTCTCCAGTGCAGCAGTGAGTTGGTTGGCCACGACCTTCTCTAGAACTTTTGAGAGAAAGGGTAGTTTACATATAGGCCTGTAGTTCACGGGCAAGGCTGGATCTAAGTTAGTTTTCTTTAATATGGGCTGAATAGTGGCATGCTTAAAATAGGAAGAGACACATCCTGTAGACAAGCTATTAATAATAGCTGATACAGCACTGCAAATGGTTGGTCAAACTTTTAAAAAATAGGGAAGTTGGTATTACATCCATTAAGAGTGTTTTATGAAAATAGGCAAGTTAAAATGAACAATTCTGTCAATATGCTGGTGGTTTTGAGGAGAACATAAGTTAAATGGGTTGTACATTTCTAAATTATAATTACTTGCCAAATCCCTGTTGTTTTTATCTATAGTGTATTCCTTTAACTTTGTCAGACAAAGGGGCCCCGGAAAAGGACCGAATTGGCATGTCTGCATGTGTTGTGTTTTCATTACTGCCAAACGTGGCTAGAGTCGATAAATACCAATGACTACTGCAGAGTCATTTGTCCCAGGAATGAATGCCATTGTAACCTTTCCCACTCAGAACAAAAGACAGCGGTTAGTGGGTGCTGCTAATGCCTTTTTTGTCAGGTAACAAATGGGCTTCAGGGATGTAACATCTATGTTTTGCTTTGTGAATCTCCAAATGGTATCACAGTATCAGAAAGGACAAACACCAATATTAGGGGTGTAGCGGTATACGTATTCGTACCGAAAATATTTGGTATGGGCCCTTCGGTTTGGTACACGTGTGTACCGAAGTGTACCGAACGAATATAACGTTAAACGTAAACAATTGAGAAAGTGAACAACTTTTTGGAAGTAATCTCAGGTGCTGCGTCGCAGCGTTCAGTGTAATTTGCTCCCGTTGGGTTCAACGCGTCAAAGAGCGACCAACTCATTTCATTGGACGAGAGGCATACTATGAGAGCTGGTCACAGGGATGCGTTCAAATGTAGTCAGTAATTTGAGGAACTGGCGAAATGGCGAACGCAGATAAAGTTGAGCTCGAAAATCCTCCAGCATCATTGCAGTCTCCGGTTTGGGAACATTTTGGTTTTGCAGTTACGTGCAAGGAGGACGGACAAAGACAGGTGGACAGAACCAAAGCTGTTTGTCGGCATTGTTCAACTAAAATTGGTTACGCGGCTGGCAATACATCAAACTTGCACACTCATTTGAAAAGGCATCACCCGAACGTGAATATCACCGGTACCAAAAGAAAAATGACTGAAGTGCAAACCCAACTCCCTCTAGCATTTAATGGCGCAGTTCCACTACAGCGCGGAGCTCGCTTTAAGCGTGCCGTGTCGTGCCGTACCCGTTTTTGGTTGCGCTTCCACTAGGCCTAGTTACGGCCCGGCCCGGGGCCACTTTTTCACCTCTTTTCTGGCCCGACAAAATTGTGGTTCTATCGGGGCCAACAAACAGGGCTGAGTCGGGCTGAGTATGCTAAACTAGAGAGAGGAGCGCTGGCAAGAGGGCTACAACTACAACAAGATGGACATATTTGACCGTGATTTAATTGTAATACACGTTTCAAAATGATGCCGAAGTAACAACATACTGATACCGGTTAGTAAAAACCATGAATTAATGCTTTGTCAAGTCTGCAGACAGACGGCAGGCGAAAAACCTTTTAAAATTCGTGTTTTTCTAGATGGAGATTGGCTAAGCTAACGCAGTATATGCTCCGACCGTCCACACTCACAACAACGGCCTATACAGACATAAATAAAGCAGCGACTGTATTCACCATGACACAGACAGTCTGTGGTTTGTACTTGTTTAACTTTTGTCGAGTTTCTGAACATATATAAGGAGCTGTGAGCTCTGAGTGCTAACAGCTGTGTTGTGTTTTCTGGAGTTCTCATTGAAGATGACGTCACGGCTCCGCCTACACTGCGTTACTATAGTAACTACCCCAGTTCCTAAACTGTAATGGAAGCGCAGCATGAAGTGAGTCGGCCCAACGCGGCCGAGCCGTACCGAGCGTGGCCGACCGTGCAGTGGAACTGCGGCATTAGCCTCCAACACTCGCAAAAAGTTCAGACCGAGCCAAAGCTATTACAAACGCCAAATATCTTTATGTTGCCATGTTAGCAAAGCGCTACCTGGCTGTATTCTGCTACCTCTGTCCCTAGCGAGAGGGTGTTCTCCACAGCAGGAGACATTGTTAGTGCCAGCAGATCTGCCCCTTCGGCAATCAAAGTGGACAAGTTAATTTTTCTTTAAAAAAAACATGAAAATACAATGACAAGCCTAATGTCAAGCTGGCTGCTTAGGTGAGTACTAGTACAGTAAAGTTCAAATACAGATTATTTTAGTTCATCGAAATGCTAAACCTCAATGTTTATTTTATTATATTTTGTATTTATTTGAGTGAATACATTATTCACAGTTTAATAATAATTAAAAAACCCTACAAAATATGTTATGTTTTGTGATAATTTTTTCTGCTGTACCGAAAGCGTACCGAACCGTGACCTAAAAACCGAGGTACGTACCGAACCGAAATGTTTGTGAACCGTTACACCCCTACCCAATATGGATCCTTTTATACATAAAGAGCAAGTCGCTGTGATTTTAAATAAGCGTCATTCTTATACATGTTACTATCCAGATTGTCAAAATAGGACGATTCTGATTAGACAAAATACGTGAATACTCCTAAATGTTACAAAAAAAGCTTGCTTAGCCTCCTTGTCACTAACCATAGTCCTTGGCCTCCTTTCGCCTGATGAGCATAGGCAGTTCATGTCTGGAACAGATGATTGTGGCCATAGGCAGGGCTGTGTATGGGACCCCGCACACAGAGTCAAACTGAAGCCCCTCTTCTTGCACTCGCTCGTAGATGAGACTTGAAACCTGCAAACAAACAAGGGATCAAGACCATACTGCTGCAGTATTGAGATAAGGGCTACACAACAATGAAGTCACATGGAATTCTACAACATCTAATACACTTAAATGTTTCCCCACCACAGCTTAAAATGTAACACTTTTGATATAATGTGTCTCTGATAATGTGGTAACTCTATAAAAATGGCTTATGAATATTTGGAGTGCATTTTAGAGGTAATACATTTCCAAACAATTGCTTTTTGGTGGAACCTTTTAATGGCTACTACGTTAAATGAACATGAGATAATATCCAATGTTTCTGATAGCGTCATAGAATAGTTTATTCAACTTCTGGATCATTTTGGAGTCTTTAGTTACTGTTTTTGTGGTAGAGTTAACTATAATAAAGACCATATTCACAGAAGGGGAAGCCCATATGAATAGACAATCAAATGAGGCATAGGTTGCAACTTGCATAAACGGTATTGTTCTAAAATAAAGAAAAACGGAGGTCTTTTATCGTGATTGTTGGACTTTTAGACTGTCGATAAACACACATTACCACATCGTTAACACCTCACTTCAACACGCATGAGGAGACGTACATGTTAGCGTCATTATAACAACCTTTTGTGTTTGGATAATGTAGCTTTGTGCTGTTTGTTCGTTTCTAAGGTTAGCATATGCTGTGCGGGAGCGAGGACATGCAACACGTGTTTACCTGGTTCATGAGCGCAGGGTGGGACACGAGCACCCTGAGGTCAATATAAATGGGTGTCATCATGCCGCTCTTCAGCTTGTACTCCCCGAACTTCACCGCGTCCACATCGTGGAGCTTCAGAATTAAACTGTCGATAGATGCGTTTTCCATCTTGTCTGTATTTAGGAGATATAGCAGGACTTCTGTCGAACTTCTACTCTACTTTACTCCACGGTGTCTGTTTCCTCAGTAGCACGCCACTTCCGCTCTGATGTTTTTTTCAAAATAAGAGCGCCATCGGCTATAGCTAATTAGCTCAAAATAAGCACAATTCTACAAGAACTATAGTCAAGTGCGTTAACAGTCTATTTAAAAGGTAGTCCTCTAGTTGTTGAAAGAAATGTAACACCTATATTCAGATTAATAAAACATTAATTCTATGAAGAATGTGTTATTGAAGCCGTAAAAGAAAAAAGAAAAGCGGTTGGTGTAATAACAAACACAATATTTGTGTGCTTAAGTTAGTGCATTAAAAGTTGTTCAAGAACAATTTCATGTAATTTTATTCTGAAGGAAGAACCGATTCACCGGAAATCTCTGGAGAATGATTTCCTGTGTGGGGTTCTTTCTTTTCCGAATAAAAGCGCACCCCCCCCCCCCTTCAACGCATAGATGTATAATAAGAACAACGTCTTCAACGTCTTATGTTTAGTTTTTTACTCCGAAACTGACTGAAATCCTTTATTTATACATAATATAAACGAAATCATCATATTGTATTGCGTCCTAAATCAAGCCCTGGTCCAAAAACCTTAATATTTGTTTACCATACATACATTACCTGAAAACTACACATATTCCCCGAACAAAAAACACAGACAAGATTTGGCTTGGGTTTTTTTCAGTTTATTAAAAATATTCAGTCCACAGTAGTTCAGATTTTGGCATCAACAATATAAAAACAAGTTAAACAAAAATAAAGTGTACACCCTAAAAAAGCATTGAACAAAATGCCTGAATAAAAGGGATAAATAAAAGAATGAATTAAAAATAAACAAGAAATACAAACATTTATGTAATTAAAATGCATTTCACTTGGAAATAATGGTGAATTTTACAATATGGTTTTTGAAATTACAGTTTCACTTTTGGTCAGTCAGCTTTTGCTTCATTGCTTTTATGGGTGCTACACCTTATGTACTTTCAAAACACCCACATCATGAATCACAGAATCACATCTACATGGTGTGACTTCTCTGTGCTGTAATAATGGCAATGCAACGATTTGTTCTAATACTAACTCAAAAGTAACAGTGCTTATCTCAGGCTTGTTGTTATGAATTTCTTGTTTTGTAAAAATAACTCAATGGGAATCAATGTATGGCTTTGGAAATCCTTTGCAATAAACCCACACTGCTGATTTGGAAATGTGTTTTACCTAATATCTTAACATTTCCTGAACATACATTAGTCATAGTGAGTCTCAAATGCATCATAAAAGCAACACATGTGGCTACAGTTATTACCAGAGATCCTAATTCCATAAAACCAGGCACATTGTGTTTTCTCTTAATCAAAGGGAAACTAATGGTCATGGAATGTTTTGAAATACTGAACATTTTTCCAAAAGCAACATTTCATTGGGATGGGGTAAGCAGGTTTGGGGTGATAAAGCAGCAGGTTTTGTGCTCTAGCAAAGTGAGGAAGAAATTTGATTAGATAACGAAATTCTTGATTCTGCTGAAGAAGTTAAAAACCAACATGAAAAGTTGGACGGATCTTTGAAAAGGCACAGAGGGTGGTGTAGTAAAGTCTTTTAAAAAGGCACTCAAATTTGGTGCGGGGGAAACCTTTAAGGTACAGATCAGATGGAAATGTTTTCTTCAAATGAAAACAGGTGCAGGCTTCCTTCTTGAAGTGGTAGTGATGCTGTAAGGGGTCTCACTTCCTCATCCTCCTTTTTTCATGCTCGCCTCTTCTCTAATCTGAGGGGGGGTTGGCGTCCGCGTACAGCTCTGGCCTCAAACATTCAATCGGACAATGGATGTTCTGGAGAGCAGAGAAGGGCAGGACAAAAACAGAAGAAATGTTGTAATTTATTATCTTTGACTGGATTTATAGCAACAAATAAGTGATTACCAAAACTATGCTGCATTTAATACTATACAAAATTGTCGGTAATTATTGGAAATTCATTGAAAAAGAGTACTGTGCGACAACTTTATTTTACTTCTACCAGTTTTTCTTGAATTTAATTGATCACTGGAAGTTTATGAAACAAAGTCTTTTCAACTCAAGTTTGAAGAGGAAGCAGTATTCCTTAATATCATTAGCAAATTATTAATAGTATTGTATTGATTTGTTTTATTCAGAGCAGAAAATCAGTATAAAAACTTATAGGGAGACACTCACCAGTTTGCGTAGAGCGTTTTCTCTGTACCGGTCGAAAACATCCGTATGAACAGGTTGAAGGAGGCCAGCGTCCACATCAGTGTGTGTTCCCGGCCTTCTGCAGTTCTCACAGCGCCAGCCCTGAAGAGATGGAGGGAGAGGTTAATTCAAATGCACTAACACATAATTTAGGGCATTGTGTTTTCCGTAAAGCACACAGATGCAATGTTACACACCTGTTGTCCTCCATAGCAGGTGCAGGTACAGATGGCGTTCAGGTATTCCTTCTGCCACTGGTTTCCAACATGGTACATTTTCCCATCGTCATAACATGTCGACTCATCTGGAATGTAAAAGATTGTAAAAGTTAAAAAAGTGTGAATCATTTCCAATATATTTCATGTCAGAAATAAATGGCAATTGAATATCCATGAGGAATGAGTGTCAGAATCCAAAGATTGAAGAAAGAATATACTACATTTTACCACAATACCAGGAGCCTACTGACGTCTCAATGACTTTTAGTCATAGACTATAAATAGGAAGTGGAGGTAGTCACTGTGACGTCATGTATTGGTAGGTGGAGATATTGTCTTGAAGCCTCACTTTGGAATCTTTGATGTCACCATTTTAATCACAAGCGACCATAGAGGACGGAGCTAGAGAGGGATACGCATTGCTAAACCTCTATCCTAAATGACAACGTGTCAACATAACATCTCAAGTTAACCTCACTGTAGAGCATCAGCATACCCTGATTCATCAGCTATTTTACTTTAAATTGGACCATGATTTGCAAAATAATCATAGTGCTGTATTGTAGAACAGTTAAAACAAGTGAGTGAGGCCATAAACTCTTTAGGGAAATCTTTACTTAGGTAATAAATCAAGTGAAAAGTGGGGTCAACTTTCTCATAGACTTCTATTCAATCTTATATTTGCAAACAGTGGAGTTGCTATCTGCTGGCCATTAGAAGTAATGCAGGTTAAAGGCACTTCTGCATTGGTTTCACTTTTCAGACTCGAAGGCTACGTCCACTTCTTTTATACAGTCCAAGGTCTACTTGAGGCCATCTTTACTTACGGGGTTCACATTTGAATTCTCCCTTGCCATTGCCCAGACAGGTGCAGCTCATCATGTGACCATTCTCAGCCTGGCGGTCCCACTTCTCGCCGATGCGGTAGTTGTTATTGTTGTCGTGACACCACTCTGAAAGAAAGAAGTAGTAACAAAAGAACGATAGAAAAGATAAAGGGAGCGAGGAGCAAGGGAAGGAGAACAGAAATAGATCCAGATGCCGGAGCAGAATGAGAGCATGGAGGAAGGAGAGTGAAGTGGATATGTGAGAGAAGTTCATTAGTTAGTGTCGAGAGCCGCTTAACAAAAAATGTATTTCATACTGCAGATATAGATTCACAGCATTTACAAAAAACAATTCACACAATTAAATTCACTGAGAAACAAGCATGGAAAACAATCAACGCAATTCATGTGTATTTCAAACAACAGGTGATGACATTATTACAAATTCACAGAGGCTTAGACCCATTGGGTCACCGGGGACTCACGCATACAGACAGTGAAATGACTTTCAACCTTTGGTGAATTAATGGTGATCTCAGTTTCTGGTATTGTCATGTTAGTTGTATGGACCATACAAAAAACCTGAGACCGATGCTGGCCAGTTAGCTTAGCTTTCTGCTCTCTGTGATGTTTTCACAGTCTACAGAGGCAGAGCAGAGAGTCTAACATGGGCAGACCATAGACAGACTCATACAATGTAAAGACATGATCATCTTTATGAAGTTATGTATGAAAACATTTCTGAAATGATGCAACGCTATACGAAATGATAGTTTGCTAGTTACCATTGTTAAGGCTGCCCATGCCATCATTGTATTAATGCATGTTGATGCACATAGAACTGTAACATTCTATTGCTTGTAAATCATAGCTAAGGAATTTATAAAACATATCAATTGTATTGATTTGTGTTCCATATCTCCAACAAATCTTTTGTTCCTCTTATAAATTCCTCTTGAGTAAATCACCTAGAATTATTTGGTTTGTAATTCCCTAGTGTTTTCAAAGCATGCTGGGATTATTTGGTTAGTAAGCCACTCACTGGATGAATCACATCTAAAGTGGCCGCTGCCCAGCCCAATGCAGCGGCACCACAGCTTGAAGCCTGTCTCAGACATACGCTCCCACTCTGAGTCCACCTCGTGGTAGGTCTGTGTGAACATGTCGTAACACACGTCCCGGTTGGTGGCGACGGGGATGTCACCTGGAACTAAGAGATGGAAGAAACAAATGTGGTTAGAACAAAGCCAAATTATGTGGCGTCTAACATGTTACTTGTTAGACGCTTTTATCCAAAGCGACTTACATACTCAATACTGTGGGCAATCCCCACAGGAGCAATTTGGGGTTAAGTGTCTTGCCCAGGGACACAACGACATGCTGACTGCAGTGGGGTTTGAACCTGTGACCCCCTGATCCCAACAACAAGGCTCTATCCACTGCGCCACACGCATCCATAGATAATACACACAGGCACATAATAATGATAATAATAATGGACAGCAACGGGCAGCAAATAAGAGGTGAAGAAAGGACCTTGGACCTTATTTAGATTGTATTTAATTGCCTTGCATTTATGTTTTAATGCTGTTATTGGTGTTATAATATTTTAATATACTAGAATAACTGGTCTTTTAATAGAGTATTTGTGTGATATATTTGTGTAGATATTTGTATGACCTCTAAGACAATACACAGTATACAAGAAGGATTATACACAAAATGTGCTTTCTCATTTGATATAAATGCAACAAATTGTTTATGTTAAAACATTCTTAAAAACATTTATTAAAGTGTCTCTATGCAGTAACTTTTTATGGTAAGATTGGATACAATTAGCTAATTGTTGTGTATACATAGGCATGCATATTTAACTTGAGTGTGGTGCAAGAGAATCTTTATTTTTAGCACACTTTGTCAGTGTGGACTACTGTACCAGCATTGCCAACCGTAACGACTTCCTCCAAAACCTTCTCCTTAGCCCCGCCCCTCATGGCCTCTACTAGGACATTATAGGATGCTCCAGATGTCAATCCAATCAGAGTGGCGCTGTTTGAGGTGCCAGGAAGACGCATCTATAGGGGGACAGAGAAAGTTAATAAGTACTCCTTACTTTTCCTGCAGTAAGTGTGTGTGTGTGACTATATGTGTGTTTACCTGGAATGCTCCTTCCTCCGTGTGTGTGATAGGATTACAAGACACCTCGTACTCTGAAGTGTGAGGAATGCCAGACCAGGAGATAGTTGTGATAGTCTGTGCTTCTTGGGGTATCTCTGTTTCATTGTCAGGGAAACCAAACGCAAGACCTGGCAGGGGACCATCACTCACCTACAGGATATAATGGACAGTACAAACTTAATGTGAGCTCAAAATATAACAAAAAAGAGGCTACAAAAGTAATCGTCACATACTAAAACTACATGTTATAATATTTACAAACACAGTTAAAGTCATGTACTACAGAACAGTGATTTAAGATCATCTGAGACTGAACCAAACTCAAGAATAGAAATCTAAACGATAGTGGATTGTTGAAACATTTTCACAAAAGTATTTAAACATTATAATGATGACCATCAGTTTACAACAGAAGATTCAAGTCTTACACACCTTGACCAAGGGAACTCTGTTTCCATCGGGGCCTGCTACAGGAATGTAGATCAGAGGCTCTCTGAGAGTGGGTCTCTGGCCTTCTCTGGGGCCGCTGAAGGGGCCATGGAGACCGTTGTTAGGGCCCAGGCTCTGGTACTCAGTGTAGATGTGCTGGCCCTGCTGGCCTGGTTGGTTCAGGCCACTAGTACCAGCGAAGTGAACCTGGTTGGTGTCAAAGCTGGACACAGAAAGAGGAAATAATAAGAACAGGAGATTCAAATGGGGAAAGAATACTTGTGTTTTGTTCCAAATTTTAATTTGATTATGCAGGTTCGTACATCTTGTCGTTGAAGGACTCTGGAACATCCAGGATGTCAGCGGTGGGTCTGTGAGGGACAGGCAGCAGGGGCAGCTCAGGGACGACCAGTAGATGGTGATCTGGAGCTGGCTCTGATTGGACAAGAGACATATGTAAGCTAGCTGTTGGAAGCAAGCAGGGCAAAGGCAATGCACAGAACCACTTGCTTAACTTTTAGCATGTAAAAGAAGGTGGCTGTGTTTCCACTCTTTTCCTGAAACCAACAGGAAACTAATTAACCTGCACACCTTTGATAAAAAATAATATAATAAAAAACTTATAATAGGACAAAAACAAACAAGTGAGGATGCTAAGTCTAAAAATTAAGTCACAATCAATGTCAAGCGCAATATATGCTGCAAGTCTACATCAGCAGTCAGCAGGGGGCAGCATAGCGTGGCTCTCAAACATATGGCAAATGGTAATATGTCAAAATTATAACTTTTTACTTGTTAGTTTTACAATGTTTTTGCCAAGAGAAACAATAAGTGATGTAGTTATTGCTTAAATTGTGGATGTATTCAAAAACAAGTTTAATGGGGGAATACAAATTAAAGCGTCTTTAAGAGAAGTCATTACTTCATTACAACGATCATAACAAATAAGAATAATCTGACCATATTCTCTCCTCAAGCAACGATACGAGATGACTTCATCTAATTAGTGCATTTTTGGGACATTCCCTAAAAGTGGGAAGCATAAAAACAGCCCATAATAGTTTTATTAACACTTTTGCGGGGAAGATTTAATAGCAGCTAGTTTATTATTCCACAGAACCAGTTAAATTATTTCAGAATATCATAAACTATGCCGAATTTAGAGTTTTCCTTTTTCCAAGGGGACTGTCATAACCCCTGTCAAACTGCCTTTTGTTATTGGCATTATGTCTTAAATGTTTTAAATGCAGGATAAATCTTTACTTTAATGAAAAAGTAGGTCTGCAGGTGGATGATGGGTACTTACGTGTTCTGGCTTTTCCCACAAGAGATGTGCTTCTCAGAGCATTCTGCAGAGCCACAATCTTAATGACATACTCTGTTCCTGGTTTCAGACCTGTGACCAAAATACACACGAGTTATGAATTTTTTTTTAATGACCGTATTTGCACTCATGTTCTTTTTGTCTTCGCACAATACCTCACCATTGATGATGGCGTATCTCTGGCCTGCGTGAGGTCTGGGGGTAATCTCTCGAGGCAGACCCCCGGCCTCCTCATAGGTCACGTAATATCCGGTTACCCCTGGACTGCGTGATGGCTGCCAGCTGAAGGAGATGCTGGTGGGGTTCAGGGAGGTGAAGCGGATGCTGGTGGGCGGGATGACCACTGGTTTGGCTAGAAGAGACAGACAAGTTTGTTAATAATCAGAAAAACAGAACTGAAAACTACAAAAAAAGAAACAGAACTACATGTTATTTTGGCAATCTTAAGAACTTCATAATACTGAGACATAAGGGCTAACAAACTGGCAATTAAGGGGGGGTTAAAAAACTATATTCAAAAAATTGAAATTGAAAATATATTGATGCCGGTTTGTGATATTTGTTCTAAAACTGGAAGCAGAACTGGAAGCAAGCTGCAATGAACAACATTTTTAATAAGGTTCAATTAAATAAATATTGGTATTCATTCCTCATTAGTGATTTTTCTGTTGTTATCAAGATTACAATATATATACACACATCAATATATATTTCCTGTCATCATGGCAAAGATGCAGCATCTCACACTCAAAGTAATGTACTACTCTTGACAAAATGAGGTGAATGGTTACCTGTGGTGGCAGTGAGTGTGAAAGGAGTGCTGCGTCCGCTCCCTTTCAGTGTATAGATGTTAATCTTGTAATCGGTGCCTGGCTCCAGACCTGAAAAGAAGAAAGGTGATGGGTCAGTGAGGGATTGTGTGCTTGAGTACTCAGACTAACAATCTGATGTTATTGAGTTACATTATATCCAATTAAACATTACATGTGTGGGTTGACCTTTCTCTATGTAAACATCATTTCTGTTTACCTGTGATAACATATGAGCGTGACTCGGGGCCAATGGTCCTTGTAATGGGTGTGTAGCCTGAAGCAGAGGAGATGGGAGTGGTCTCAACCAGGAAGCCAGAGATGGTTTCTGTCTTGGCGCGCCAGGTCAGCGTGATGGAAGAGTCGATGACGTCCGAGATGCGCACACGACGAGGGGGGCTGATATCTTGAAGAGCAAATTGAGAAAAGGTCAGGGTGAGGAAGAACAAAACCAGGAATAAGACAGTATAGATTCACAAGAACAATCCAGAACAACGGTACTGTAACACAAATTAAATCTCTCAGTTTTCAAATACTTTTATACATTCGCATTTTATGAGTTACAAACTCACTCTCTCGAGTAGTGACCTCTCCCTGGACTGGCCGGCTGGTCAGAGAGTTTTTCAAGGAGTAAACATGGACTTCATAGGCAGTTGCAACCTAAGAGGGGTGGCGTAAAAGAGAAAAAAAGATCAGTCTCTCACAGTGTTGCAGAATCTGAGTTTAGGTATCCTGGCTGCAGCTGCAAACATGACATAATAGGTTTGTGCATGGGTCTGCTTATGTATTGCCTTTTGAAAATCAGTAAACACTACATGACCATATTTATGATCTAATAACATAAATAGGAACAAATGGGTATCTGGAAGGTAGGAAAACAACCTTATAACAACTTCCTTCCTCAGACTCACAGGGCCACACTCACCATGAGTCCAGAGATGTGTGCCTGAGTGGCGTCCGGGGCCAGGTTCAGCTCCTTGGTGGGGCCGCTCTTGCTCTTTGGGTTCACCACCACCCGGTAGCCCGTGAGGCCTGTCAGGCCAGTGAGTCTGTTTTCCTGACGAGGCAGGGACCAGGTCATAGTGAAGGAGGTGGGGCTAATGGAAGAGAACTGGAGGTTGGTGGGGGGTGAGATGGCTGCGGGGAGGAGAGAAAATAAAGACAAAAGGGTTAGAGGGAGACGGTAATGACAGTATGAGCAATCATTGTGCTCTCAAGTAAAGAATGAAAGGAATATCTTTTCTTTAAGGCCCTTTCTATCAGTGACTGTTGTTCAAATTGTACTTTTCTACAAGGGCTCGCCTGTCGTCTAAATGTCACTTTTCTTAAATGGCTACACCTCCAAATAACATTTAAAGGTGGGGTAGGTAATTTTAGAGAAACCAGCTCGAGTGCGCTAGAATTTGAAAATACACAGCCGGAAAAAATCTGCCACTTCCTTACAAAGCCCCTCCTCCATCACACACGAACACGCACATGACCAATGAGGGCACGAGATAAGTTTGTGCACAGATGGAAGGCTGACAGGCAGGTAGGCCATCCAGTTATTTTAGCCGGGCCGGCTAAAATGATTGGTCGTGCTTTTTACAGTACTACAGCTTCCACAGATGACATTTTTTAATGGATTTTTTGTCAAAGCACTTAAGATATTCATTGCTATCGGGATTTTAAGAGCATTCCATGGAATATAACAAAAAGTGTATCTCGAGCCAGGTCAGTCGTCCAAATTTCTCTTCATATATATATACAATGCATGCAAATTTTACTTTCTGAGCTTTCTGGTCTTTGACTTTTTCTTATTAGTATCAGATTTCCAGCCGTACCTGTAGCTTGTATGCCGACCAGTGGTGTGCTGTTTGTGTCATCGTGCACAGCGATGACCTTCACAGTGTATTCAGTGCCTGGCGACAGACCGTAGATGATTGCAGATTCGGCATCTGCACGGGGGGCAGGGCGCAGCTCTCTCTCTCCCTCCTCTGAACTGGAATAGAAGACCCGGTATGATGTGACGATTCCCTCAGGGCTGTCCCAGGTGATCCGCAGCGAGGTGGAGTCGATGTCGGAGAAGGTAAGGTCCTTAGGGTGGTCTACATCTAGGAAGGGGTTAGGAGGTAGGAGGTAGGAGGAGAAGTCAGGAGGTTGCTTTGAATTTCTGATGGTTTGGGAATCAATATATTTCTGAAATATCTCTAGAAGGTGTAGATTCTTACTTGTTAAAACATTCACCACCATTGGAGAGCTCTCTCCATCTTGTCCAAAAGCGTACACACTCAAAACGTACTCTACTGTGGGCATCAGTCCTGAGAAAGTAATCTCTGTCTGGTCTGGAAAATTGAAGGAAAAGGATACACATTAAGTGAAGAAAAATATATTAAAGAGTTAAAATTAGGACATTAGAACAAGTTTACTACTGTATAATCAAGCTTTAAAGGTCCCCTATTATACTCTTTTTCATCAATATATTATAGGTCTCAGATATATACAAAACATTTCTCTGAAGTGTTTGGCTCAAAATACCAAACAGATCATTGTAGCATCTCATAAACCCCTCTGTTTCAGCCCTGTTTCAAAAGTGCTGATTCTCTGTCTGTTACTTTAGATGAAAATAAGGAGCCACTCCCCACGCCCCTCTGAGAGATATTGGGTTAAAAAAAACACAATGGTGCTCTAGGAGGAGATTCAGGTGATAAGGTGGAGGGGGGGTTACCTTAGTTGGTCATTGGCTAATGGTTACACAAGCCAAAAAAAATTGGCAATAATCTGATCAGCTCATTTTCAGACAGGTTTTTATATAAATGGATCAGGACAAAAAGAGAGAGAATCTTTTTTACTGAAACTTTCAGAATCTCTTTACACTCTTTTTATTTTTAAAAGACATGAAAAAGTGGATTTTGCATAATAGGTGACCTTTAAAATACTGACAAACACTACATACCTGGAGCCACCACCTCAGTGAAAGACGGTCCCTGTCCATTCTTGGGGACCCCAGTCACCCTGTATCCCTTGATGGGGCCCTGGGCAGGGCTCCACCTCACTGTGATACTGTTGTCCTTCACGTTCATCACCTCCATTCCAGAGGGAGAGTTGACACCTAGGAGAGGAGGATTAGGGAAGAGAAGAGGAGAAAGCTATAACATGAGATGGCTTGATAATCACTACAAATGAGTGTGCTTTTTGTCTGTAAAGGTGTGTGTACCTGTCTTGTGCATGACGTAGATTGGAGTGCTGGACGCAGGGCTGTCTCCTCTCCCGGTCACAGCGTAGACGGTGATGGTGTAGTCAGTACCGGGCTTCAGGTTGTTGATGGTGGCGGTGGACTGGGAGCCAGGGACTGTGAACTCCTTAGGATTACTGTGACCTCCTGGATAAACAAGGACAATGTGATAGATTTAAAAATATATATATTTAAAGATATATAAAGATATATATTTTAATTCTCAGTGGCACATTTTCAAAAACAAAATAAAAATAAATCAATATAAAAGAATTGAATGATAATAATAATAATAATAATAATAATAATAATAATAATAATAATAATAATAATAATAATAATAATAATAATAATAATAATAATAATAATAAACCAAACAATATATATTATTTACATTTTCCTGCCAGAAAATATACAAAAGGTATCTTTTATATATATAATAAATGTTGTAATTTATTATGTTTTTTTAATCTGTCATTCATGTTTTTTCGAGCTGTACACACTTTAAAGAGACACTTTGTTCAATGTGAAATATTTGGCTATATAAATACAATTTAAAGTAATTTATGTCATTATTTCTCACTGACCAGACTCTCCATGAGTGATCCTGTAGTAGCGCACGGTGACAGGGGGGGCGTCCCAGCGGACAGTGATGCTGGTGGGGGAGGAGTCGAGCACTTCCAGGTCTGTGGGAGCATCAGAGACTAGAGAGAGAGAGAAAACACAGACAAAAGAATCAAATAACCCACATGAAGTAAGTAACTGGATGAAATAAAGTGTTGAATCAGGATTTATTCCTACTTGTCTTCTGTGTCCCAGTGAGCGGCAGGCTCTCTTGGGACCCGCTCACGGCGTAGATGTTGACCAAGTACCCCGTGTCAGCGGTGAGTCCCGTCAGGGTGAAGTGGTTCCTGGACGGGGGCAGCCTCTCGTCCTTGGTCCTCCCTCCGCTGACCATCAGGTGGCGGATACGGTACCCGGTGATTTTGCTCTGGGGAGCGAGCCAGTTGATGGTGAAGGAGTTGGTGAAGACCTCAGTGAAGCGCAGGCCGACCGGTGAATCCAGAACTGAGAGGTTGGGAGGTACAGAAACATATTTATTATATAAAGGTAAATACTTTCTAAAGGGTATTTATTATTCTTTTTGGGGGTTTCCTTTTCCTGTAGTGTGTTACATGGGTTTTTGTGCATGTAAATGGCCTGCAAAGGCTAAAATCCCAGATTCCCTCCAGAGGTCTTGCAAACAAATCCCCCCCTGCCTGAAACGCCTCCATTGGATTCCTTTGTTAACTTACGTAACATAGTGATACCAATGTAACACTCCCGCCTCTATTACTAGCGCTCCAACACATTGAACGTGATTTGAAAAGAAAAAAATAACCTAATTGCTTACTTATTTACCCAACACTGGACTGATTTACTCCTGTTTTTTCAAATATCCAAGTAGACTCACCTGTTTTCTTGGTTCCGACGAGGGGCGAGCTCTCTCTCTCCTCGTACACACACACCACGCTCACCAGATACTCTGTGTTTGGCAGCAAGTCTGTGAACAGTGAAAAATACATAAATACAAAATGTACTTGTTGTGCGTTGTTGTGTATTGTTTATTTTCTCTTCTAACTTACTCCTTAGCACCACACTGTTCCTGTTGCCTTCTGCGCTGGTCTCTGTGATGTCATCTTCATCGTCAATGGGATGATACCTGAATAATAAGGAGAACAACAAATAAGTTATTTGTGTGTGAGTCAGTGTGTCCTCAGAAAATATGTGAATCAGAAATATTCAAATATAACATTTTATGTTTCTTCTCATACCTGATGAGGAAGTTGTTCATTTCAGCAGAGTTGGGAAAATAGGGAGCGACCCAGTTGACTTCAATGCTGTCTGGCCCAACCTGGCCAAAGCCCAAGCTAGTGGGTGCTGGTATAGCTATTGACAAAAAACAGCTTGATTCACAATGTATTCAAACGGTACAATATAAGCTTTCTTTCCCCTTCATTTGAAGAGAAAATAGATCTGATGAAAGAAAAACAAGATATAAATTAACTGACTAAAAGTGGAAGGTATATTCACACCATCATTCTTCTTCTATGTGTCAGTGTAAATCCTTGACTGAAGTTTTACGACATCTTTAAAGTGAGAAAATAAGCAGTGTTTGCATCGGGGGGCAAAATGAGACTCAGTTTAATACAAACCCCACAACTGTAACCAGATGGTCCTCGTGCACAAAGAGGATTATTAACTGAGTGAAAAGCATGCTGTGCAATTACTTCAGCAACTTAAGGGTTTTGCTTTGAAGAACCATGTATTGGGCTTAATAAGAACCTTATTGTGTTATATAACTCGGCACACATATTGTGATTTGTGACTCCCTAAGCAACTGATGTTTGTTCTAGTTTGGTATTGTTATTGTTATAGTTGTGGCAGGAGGATTCTTTTTTGGTTGGGTGGGACTTGCCGGTGTGCTGAGTGATGACGATGGGTTCGCTCTCGCCGTTCTCCGTCACAGTGATCACGCTGATGTCATAGTCGATGCCAGGCTCCAGTCCGTAGACAGTATATTGACCAGTCGTTGGCAGAACAAAGTCTTCGAAGATGGGCACGCTCTCGCCGGCCGCTACCACCACGATCTTGTAACCGGTGATGGCTGTGGTGTTGAGCGGCGACCAGAGGAGGCTGATGGTGGTGTCGCTCACGTCCTTAAATGTGAGGTCTGTCAGCTGTGGGACTTCTGGGTAGGTGGAAGGGAAAGAAAGCGAGAAGACAACAGGAACACCAAACAAACAAGAGGGAAAGGAGGAGGGGGTTGGACATGAGGGCCAGGAAGAGGAAGGCAACGGACAAAAAGAAAGAAGCAGTGGTTAACGCAAGCATTTAAAAATGATGTGCTTCCATTAGGGTGTAATATTCGACATATCAGACCAATGGAAGATATGATGTTAAGCTGCCTTTCCTGGTATATATCATTATTTTGTAAGGGTTCAGTTAAAATTCAATGAAGCGTTTCCATTGAGAAGACCTAATATATATACAGGAAATATAGCGTTAGAGTTTCAAAACACTCCTGGTGCAGTTTTGCTTTTTCCTTCGGTTGCTGGTGTTAAGTTAGAGCAAAGATAGAATGTGTTAAATGCTTTCAACTCTCACCAAATGCTTTTTAACTTGAATGTGGACAGTTTGTGCTTACCTGGTCAGATGCTCATGATCAATATCCTTACCTCATTACATCAAAAACCTATTCAAAACTCCTGCGTGACCTCGCACTCACCTGGTGTAATGGTAGTTGAAATGGGAATGCTCTCCATATCGTCCTTCACAGTGACAACGCTAATGTTGTATTCCACTCCTGGACTGAGGTTCTCCAGGGTGCAGGAGTTCTGACCTGCCTTCACAAACTCCTCCATGCTGTCTCCCTGCTGCCCATTGGTGGGAGTGCACATCACTCTGTAGCCCGTGATGTCTTTGAGAGAAAAAAGGAGAGAGAACTTTTAAACATAGGGTTAGAAACTAAAGTAAATACAGGAGATAACCTCAAAGCAGTTTCAATCAACCTCAAAGCAGTTTCATCAAAAACGATTTAAACAAGATTATTACTGCGATTTTATATTTATTATTTGTAGTCATGTTTTTGACGTTTGCTTTTTGTTGCTTTTCAAGCGGAGAACTTCATCTTCATCATCTTTTGATCTAGGGAAAGATTTAAATGTATACTTCTTTTCTGTTTGTACAAGGATTTTGAGTTTTCTTTAATTTCACTGTCATTTGATGTGTTGGTAGTATATTTTGAATTGTGTACTCCTTTGTCAATTGTTGATGACCCGTCTAAAATGTCAGGAGACATACCACTGTCTCCTGAAATTATTAAAAAAATATATATTAAAAAAGGATCAGAAAAATCATTAAAAAAAAATTAAGAAGTCAAACTGTAAGGACCTTGGTATGTAGGTGTATGTGTACCTGGTGTACTGGCCCCGGTCCATTGGACTGTGAGCTCTCCGGTGCCTGGGTTGGACTTCAGGTTCAGATCAGTAGGAGGAGACAGAGCTGGAGACCAAGAAGAGATACATTAAGAGACACTGGGGGGACAAAGCAAACAGCTTGGAAAGGAAAATACAGGAAAAAAAGGAGACAAAGTTAATATTCAATTGTTGTTCTTACGTGTTACAACGCGGCGAGTGATCGCGGTTCCCTGCTCACGTCCGTTAATAACTGGCTGGACGCTGTAGGTGTACTCCACCCCTGGAGTCAGACCCGAAACGTAAATACTTCCTGAGTCAGAGGTCACATCTCTGGGGGCTTCTCCACCCTGACTGGGACGCACTGTCAGCTGAAAGATAAATGTGCACAGTGTCAGAGACTAAGTGGAGAGCGAGACGTGAATCTGGGGTACAGGAGGTAAAGGTCGTAGGTCAATGTTTTCCCAAGAACATAGAAGCCGTGAGAACATTCCCATCTCTGGTGTGACATAGTCTGACCAATAAGATTTGAACCGTGAGGTCTGTAGTTTCCATGTTATCTAACCTAAATGGGGCCTACACCTAACTAAGAAGAAATAGAATCTGCTTTCAAGGGGAAAGCCGATAGGTGCAAACACACGACAACGGCCAGAAAATGTGCTGCATGTTTTGTTTTTTGCAGGGTTTTGTTTACGCAGCGCTCTTAGTAAAGCATGCGCATGTGTTGTCAAGTTGTCAAAGATATTTCTTCATTTGTTTTGGCAAATGAATGTTTTTATATTTGCAATGTTTTTGTGCAGCACGTTTCTCTTAAAGTAAAGTGTTTTGGGCTGTGGTAGCTTGTTGGCCACCGTACAACAAAATGAAAACGGGAATGAACGCAATCACAAACCAGTTCATTTTAAAGGGACAACATGGGACAGCAGATTTATGAATATGTGGGTGGTGGGATATCCATTAGCAATAAGTGTACCTTGTATCCAACACGGGGAACTGGAGTCCAGGAGATTACAATGGAGGTGTCAGTCACATCAGTGCTGAATTTAGGAGCGCTGCCCATTGAAGAATCTACAAACACAGGCAGAGAAAAGGTGTTTTGTGTGAGTTTTTCGCATGGATAGGATAAAGATTTACATATGCATATTTTTCCAGTCATCTGTATCCATATTGCAAGTTTCTTCTACTCATCTTATAATACTTATCTTTTGTATACTACATGAAACATGAATTTTTGAAGATGAAAAACAATACCCTCTTTACCAAAAAATAATAACAATAATCAGTTTAATCCTCTTTTGATAAACTCTCGAAAATAATTTATTATGCGTATTTATACGCATCAGACACTCACTGGTGGTAAACACAGCGCTCTCTCCTCTACTCAGCGTGTTCTCCTGCTCTGAATGTAGCGTAGCAGTGTACTGGGTAGCAGGCCTCAGGTTCAGGAGGGTGTACTGAGAGAGGCGGGCGGGCAGGCGCAGCTGCTTGGGGTTGGAGCCCTCCACAGTGAGGAAGAGACGGTAGCCGGTGATTTTAGCATGAGGGGCGGACCACATCATCACAGCACTGTCCTCAGTCACCTCGGTGAAACGGATATATCTCGGAGCGTCAGGCTCTAAAAAGAAACATCAATAACCCTGTTAGAGGATGTGATGTGTTTGACTTGCACTTCAGGGCTTCTGAACACACAGTAAATGTTACATTGTTTGATGACTTCACTTCACTTGAGCAAGTCAAACATGTATAAAGATAGGGCGATGCAGGGGGGGGGCACATGATCAAATTATGATATTTAAAGAACAGAATCTTTAGAATAGGCAGATTTTGGTCATTGCACAACAACTACGGATGCTATTTTCAACAACTTAAGCCTTCCTAACAAAAGTATTTTACCAGGCAGTGGATTTCCAGCGGTGTTGACCTGTACAAAGAGAGGCTTGCTCTCCAGGCTGTCCTCCACAGAGTAGATACTGATGTTGTACAGCTTCCCAGGTAGGAGGTCACTCAGCGTCACAGATGTTGCAGTGTCAGGGAGAGTCACCTCCGAGCTTTCACCTTCTAGTGAAGGCCTGTAGACCACACGATAGCCTGCGCGGAGAGAGAGAAAATACGGGTCACGTAATTGACACAGATGGGTTTGAACTAACCACAAATGGGGAAAAGTTTTGGATGTTACATGTGTCGTAGCCAGGGGTTAAATTGGGCCGGTGCTGTCCGGGGCTAAGCCCCGGCACATAGGACGATGCTATGACGTTATCACCCTCCCACATTTGTCATATGTTTACAAAAAATGATATATATGTTAAACTTTTCTCGTTCTTAATATAGACTATATTTAGGGTCGATATGTGTTGACTTTACTTTAAAATAGCAGATCTCTGTGACCGGATATCGTTTTTTCGGGTTAGTGAACGTGTGTCTCTGCTCCGATCAGGAGCTGCAGCACCGCCCGGGCTCCTCCGCGGCTCCTCCGTGCAGAGAGTCTGCAGCGGTGCCGCCAAACGACCCGACTAGTCCTGTAACACGGAGCCCGTTTCCTAAACCATGCTAAATGTATGTGTCTGCATAAAGCTGGGTTATGATGGTCATAATTAAATAGTTTACAGTGAGATTTACTCGCATACTTTTGGCCATACTCGCGCAGCCCTACAAATGAACTGAGATTACCACACAAATGTTCTTTAGCAAGTGTGCAGAGCGATGTTGATTTAAAATAGCAGTTCGAAGGTTGGATATATGTAAAAAATATGTTGTGTATATATTAATAATTTAAGATGTACATTAATTTATTTGTAGTACTTTCTATTTTTATTGTATAATTTGGTGGCATCAATGTGCATTTGATACAGATAATGGAGCAGATACTTTAGGGCCTCATATAAAGTATAGCCCTTAAGAACAAATAATGAGACAACCCCCCCCCACCTCCCCTCGCACCTTCAAACAGAGCCCCCCCACATATCAAATCCCAATTTAACCCCTGGTCGTAACATACCAGTGATTGGAGCCAGTGGTTTTTCCCAGCTGATCATGATGGAAGTTTCTTTCACCTCATCCACTTCCAAATCAACAGGAGCATCAGGTGCTGTGAAACAATTTAAATGCAAGAAGGAAAATCACAACCACATCTTTTTCACTTGTTTTTTTCAGGATCACTTGATTTATAATCCTTGCCACATGTTCATTAGGCTGCTTTTGGGTTAGGGATTGGAAACAACACATTAAAGTTGAGCAACTGTATTTTTTGTGAGAATTAGAAAATAAAGAAACATGAAAGTGTGTTGTGTATCTACTGACCTGTGGTTTGTGTTGTAGAGAGAAATAGATTGTCCTCACCTTTATCTGTAACCTCAAAGTCGTTCCCAGTGTACTTCGTACCAGGCAGTTCTGGAAGAAAAAATACATTTTTTAGGCAGTGCTACAATATTTTATTAGAATGATGGTTTCAAATATTCTGCCTATACCAATGATTGCACTAACTGCGATTTTGATATTGCACTAGTCTATATTATGATTTGTGGAAAATATTTTTTTGTTGCACAGCCCTAGAAAACAGTGCTTTATATTTGTATTTATACGCATCAGACACTCACTGGTGGTAAACACAGCGCTCTCTCCTCTACTCAGCGTGTTCTCCTGCTCTGAATGTAGCGTAGCAGTGTACTGGGTAGCAGGCCTCAGGCTCAGGAGGGTGTACTGAGAGAGACGGGCGGGCAGGCGCAGCTTCTTGGGGTTGGAGCCCTCCACAGTGAGGAAGAGACGGTAGCCGGTGATTTTAGCATGAGGGGCGGACCACATCATCACAGCACTGTCCTCAGTCACCTCGGTGAAACGGATATATCTCGGAGCGTCAGGCTCTAAAAAGAAACATCAATAAACCCTATTAGAGGATGTGATGTGTTTGACTTGCACTTCAGGGCTTCTGAACACACAGTAAGTGTTACATTATTTGATCACTTCACTTCACTTTTCAATGGTATGTTCCAGTTTTAAGAATTGGAAACTTCTACATAGATAAGTGACAAGGCCATGGGCTGAATGTCAGGGTGATTCTGCAGAGCACCCTTTTGACAAGAAGACAAAGTCAAACATGTATAAAGATAGGGCGAAGCAGGGGGGCGCACATGATCAAATTACGATATTTAAAGAACAGAATCTTTAGAATAGGCAGATTTTGGTCATTGCACAACAACTACGGATGCTATTTTCAACAACTTAAGCTTTTCCTAACAAAAGTATTTTACCAGGCAGTGGATTTCCAGCGGTGTTGACCTGTACAAAGAGAGGCTTGCTCTCCAGGCTGTCCTCCACAGAGTAGATACTGATGTTGTACAGCTTCCCAGGTAGGAGGTCACTCAGCGTCACAGATGTTGCAGAGTCAGGGAGAGTCACCTCCGAGCTTTCACCTTCTAGTGAAGGCCTGTAGACCACACGATAGCCTGCGCGGAGAGAGAGAAAATACGGGTCACGTAATTGACACAGATGGGTTTGAACTAACCACAAATGGGGAAAAGTTTTGGATGTTACATGTGTCGTAGCCAGGGGTTAAATTGGGCCGGTGCTGTCCGGGGCTAAGCCCCGGCACATAGGACGATGCTATGACGTTATCACCCTCCCACATTTGTCATATGTTTACAAAAAATGATATATATGTTAAACTTTTCTCATTCTTAATATAGACTATATTTAGGGTCGATATGTGTTGACTTTACTTTAAAATAGCAGATCTCTGTGACCGGATATCGTTTTTTCGGGTTAGTGAACGTGTGTCTCTGCTCCGATCAGGAGCTGCAGCACCGCCCGGGCTCCTCCGCGGCTCCTCCGTGCAGAGAGTCTGCAGCGGTGCCGCCAAACGACCCGACTAGTCCTGTAACACGGAGCCCGTTTCCTAAACCATGCTAAATGTATGTGTCTGCATAAAGCTGGGTTATGATGGTCATAATTAAATAGTTTACAGTGAGATTTACTCACATACTTTTGGCCATACTCGCGCAGCCCTACAAATGAACTGAGATTACCACACAAATGTTCTTTAGCAAGTGTGCAGAGCGATGTTGATTTAAAATAGCAGTTCAAAGGTTGGATATATGTAAAAAAATATGTTGTGTATATATTAATAATTTAAGATGTACATTAATTTATTTGTAGTACTTTCTATTTTTATTGTATAATTTGGTGGCATCAATGTGCATTTGATACAGATAATGGAGCAGATACTTTAGGGCCTCATATAAAGTATAGCCCTTAAGAACAAATAATGAGACAACCCCCCCCCCACCTCCCCTCGCACCTTCAAACAGAGCCCCCCCACATATCAAATCCCAATTTAACCCCTGGTCGTAACATACCAGTGATTGGAGCCAGTGGTTTTTCCCAGCTGATCATGATGGAAGTTTCTTCCACCTCATCCACTTCCAAATCAACAGGAGCATCAGGTGCTGTGAAACAATTTAAATGCAAGAAGGAAAATCACAACCACATCTTTTTCACTTGTTTTTTTCGGGATCACTTGATTTATAATCCTTGCAACATGTTCATTAGGCTGCTTTTGGGTTTGGGATTGGAAACAACACATTAAAGTTGAGCAACTGTATTTTTTGTGAAAATTAGAAAATAAAGAAACATGAAAGTGTGATGTGTATCTACTGACCTGTGGTTTGTGTTGTAGAGAGAAAGAGATTGTCCTCACCTTTATCTGTAACCTCAAAGTCGTTCCCAGTGTACTTCGTACCAGGCAGTTCTGGAAGAAAAAATACATTTTTTAGACCAGGACTTTTAGGCAGTGCTACAATATTTTATTAGAATGATGGTTTCAAATATTCTGCCAATACCAATGATTGTGCTAACTGCGATTTTGATATTGCACTAGTCTATATTATGATTTGTGGAAAATATTTTTTTGTTGCACAGCCCTAGAAAACAGTGCTTTATATTTGTATTTCTACGCATCAGACACTCACTGGTGGTAAACACAGCGCTCTCTCCTCTACTCAGCGTGTTCTCCTGCTCTGAATGTAGCGTAGCAGTGTACTGGGTAGCAGGCCTCAGGCTCAGGAGGGTGTACTGAGAGAGGCGGGCGGGCAGGCGCAGCTTCTTGGGGTTGGAGCCCTCCACAGTGAGGAAGAGACGGTAGCCGGTGATTTTAGCATGAGGGGCGGACCACATCATCACAGCACTGTCCTCAGTCACCTCGGTGAAACGGATATATCTCGGAGCGTCAGGCTCTAAAAAGAAACATCAATAACCCTGTTAGAGGATGTGATGTGTTTGACTTGCACTTCAGGGCTTCTGAACACACAGTATATGTTACATTATTTGATCACTTCACTTCACTTGAGCAAGTCAAACATGTATAAAGATAGGGCGATGCAAGAGGGGGGCACATGATCAAATTATGATATTTAAAGAACAGAATCATTAGAATAGGCAGATTTTGGTAATTGCACAACAACTATGGATGCTATTTTCAACAACTTAAGCTTTTCCTAACAAAAGTATTTTACCAGGCAGTGGATTTCCAGCGGTGTTGACCTGTACAAAGAGAGGCTTGCTCTCCAGGCTGTCCTCCACAGAGTAGATACTGATGTTGTACATCTTCCCAGGTAGGAGGTCACTCAGTGTCACAGATGTTGCCGTGTCAGGGAGAGTCACCTCCGAGCTTTCACCTTCTAGTGAAGGCGTGTAGACCACACGATAGCCTGCGCGGAGAGAGAGAAAATACGGGTCACGTAATTGACACAGATGGGTTTGAACTAACCACAAATGGGGAAAAGTTTTGGCTGTCACATGTGTCGTAGCATACCAGTGATTGGAGCCAGTGGTTTTTCCCAGCTGATCATGATGGAAGTTTCTTTCACCTCATCCACTTCCAAATCAGCAGGAGCATCAGGTGCTGTGAAACAATTTAAATGTGAGAAGGAAAATTACAACCACATCTTTTTTACTTTATTTTTTCAGGATCACTTGATTTATAATCCTTGCAACATGTTCATTAGGCTGCTTTCGGGTTTGGGATAGGAAACAACACATTAAAGTTGAGCAACTGTATATTTTGTGAGAATTAGAAAATAAAGAAACATGAAAGTGTGTTGTGTATCTACTGACCTGTGGTTTGTGTTGTAGAGAGAAAGAGATTGTCCTCACCTTTATCTGTAGCCTCAAAGTCGTTCCCAGTGTACTTCGTACCAGGCAGTTCTGGAAGAAAAAATACATTTTTTAGACCAGGACTTTTAGGCAGTGCTACAATATTTTATTAGAATGATGGTTTCAAATATTCTGCCAATACCAATGATTGTGCTAACTGCGATTTTGATATTGCACTAGTCTATATCATGATTTGTGGAAAATATTTTTTTGTTGCACAGCCCTAGAAAACAGTGCTTTATATTTGTATTTATACGCATCAGACACTCACTGGTGGTAAACACAGCACTCTCTCCTCTACTCAGTGTGTTCTCCTGCTCTGAATGTAGCGTAGCAGTGTACTGGGTAGCAGGCCTCAGGCTCAGGAGGGTGTACTGAGAGAGGCGGGCGGGCAGGCGCAGCTGCTTGGGGTTGGAGCCCTCCACAGTGAGGAAGAGACGGTAGCCGGTGATTTTAGCATGAGGGGCGGACCACATCATCACAGCACTGTCCTCAGTCACCTCGGTGAAACGGATATATCTCGGAGCGTCAGGCTCTAAAAAGAAACATCAATAAACCTGTTAGAGGATGTGATGTGTTTGACTTGCACTTCAGGGCTTCTGAACACACAGTATATGTTACATTATTTGATGACTTCACTTCACTTTTCAATGGTATGTTCCAGTTTTAAGAATTGGAAACTTCTACATAGATAAGTGACAAGGCCATGGGCTGAATGTCAGGGTGATTCTGCAGAGCACCCTTTTGACAAGAAGACAAAGTCAAACATGTATAAAGATAGGGCGAAGCAGGGGGGCGCACATGATCAAATTACGATATTTCAAAAACAGAATCATTAGAATAGGCAGATTTTGGTCATAGCACACCAACTACGGAATGATATTTTCAACAACTTAAGCTTTTCCTAACATAAGTATTTTACCAGGCAGTGGATTTCCAGCGGTGTTGACCTGTACAAAGAGAGGCTTGCTCTCCAGGCTGTCCTCCACAGAGTAGATACTGATGTTGTACAGCTTCCCAGGTAGGAGGTCACTCAGCGTCACAGATGTTGCAGAGTCAGGGAGAGTCACCACCGACCTTTCACCTTCTAGTGAAGGCGTGTAGACCACACGATAGCCTGCGCGGAGGAAGAAATATTACATATCATTTTGAATATGGGATGGTCACAGATGGGTACGAACTAGCAACAAATGGGGAAACGTTTTGGCTGTTACATGTGTCATAGCATACCAGTGATTGGAGCCACTGGTTTTTGCCAGCTGATCTTGATGGACGTTTCTCCCACCACACCCACTTCATAATCAGCAGGAGCATCAGGTGCTGTGAAACAATTTAAATGTGAGAAGGAAAATTACAACCATATCTTTTTTACTAACTTTTTACAGGATCACTTGATTTATAATCCTTGCCACATGTTCATTAGGCTGCTTTCGGGTTAGGGATTGGAAACAACACATTAAAGTTGAGCAACTGTATTTTATTGTGAGAATTAGAAAATAAAGAAACATGAAAGTGTGATGTGTATCTACTGACCTGTGGTTTGTGTTATAGAGAGAAATAGATTGTCCTCACCTTTATCTGTAACCTCAAAGTCGTTCCAAATGTACTTCGTACCAGGCAGTTCTGGAAGAAAAAATAAATTTTTTAGGCAGTGCTACAATATTTTATTAGAATGATGGTTTCAAATATTCTGCCAATACGAATTATTTCGCCATCTGCGATTTGGATATTGCACTAGTCCATATTATGATTTTGGACAAAAAAAATTATTTGTTGCACAGCCCAAGAAAAGAGGGCTTTATATTTGTATTTATACGCATCAGACACTCACTGGTGGTAAACACAGCGCTCTCTCCTCTACTCAGCGTGTTCTCCTGCTCTGAATGTAGCGTAGCAGTGTACTGGGTAGCAGGCCTCAGGCTCAGGAGGGTGTACTGAGAGAGACGGGCGGGCAGGCGCAGCTGCTTGGGGTTGGAGCCCTCCACAGTGAGGAAGAGACGGTAGCCGGTGATTTTAGCACGAGGGGCGGACCACATCATCACAGCACTGTCCTCAGTCACCTCGGTGAAACGGATATATCTCGGAGCGTCAGGCTCTAAAAAGAAACATCAATAAACCCTATTAGAGGATGTGATGTGTTTGACTTGCACTTCAGGGCTTCTGAACACACAGTAAGTGTTACATTATTTGATCACTTCACTTCACTTTTCAATGGTATGTTCCAGTTTTAAGAATTGGAAACTTCTACATAGATAAGTGACAAGGCCATGGGCTGAATGTCAGGGTGATTCTGCAGAGCACCCTTTTGACAAGAAGACAAAGTCAAACATGTATAAAGATAGGGCGAAGCAGGGGGGCGCACATGATCAAATTACGATATTTCAAAAACAGAATCATTAGAATAGGCAGATTTTGGTCATAGCACACCAACTACGGATGCTATTTTCAACAACTTAAGCTTTTCTTAACAAAAATATTTTACCAGGCAGTGGATTTCCAGCGGTGTTGACCTGTACAAAGAGAGGCTTGCTCTCCAGGCTGTCCTCCACAGAGTAGATACTGATGTTGTACATCTTCCCAGGTAGGAGGTCACTCAGTGTCACAGATGTTGCAGAGTCAGGGAGAGTGACCACCGACCTTTCACCTTCTAGTGAAGGCGTGTAGACCACACGATAGCCTGCGCGGAGGAAGAAATATTACATATCATTTTGAATATGGGATGGTCACAGATGGGTACGAACGAGCAACAAATGGGGAAACGTTTTGGCTGTTACATGTGTCGTAGCATACCAGTGATTGGAGCCACTGGTTTTTCCCAGCTGATCATGATGGAAGTTTCTCCCACCGTACCCACTTCATAATCAGCAGGAGCATCAGGTGCTGTGGAACAATTTAAATGTGAGAAGGAAAATTACAACCACATCTTTTTCACTTGTTTTTTCAGGATCACTTGATTTATAATCCTTGCCACATGTTCATTAGGCTGCTTTTGGGTTTGGGATAAGAAACAACACATTAAAGTTGAGCAACTGTATTTTATTGTGAGAATTAGAAAATAAAGAAACATGAAAGTGTGTTGTGTATCTACTGACCTGTGGTTTGTGTTGTAGAGAGAAAGAGATTGTCCTCACCTTTATCTGTAGCCTCAAAGTCGTTCCCAGTGTACTTCGTACCAGGCAGTTCTGGAAGAAAAAATACATTTTTTAGACCAGGACTTTTAGGCAGTGCTACAATATTTTATCAGAATGATGGTTTCAAATATTCTGCCAATACCAATGATTGCACTAACTGCGATTTTGATATTGCACTAATCCATATCATGATTTGTGGAAAATATTTTTTTGTTGCACAGCCCAAGAAAACAGTGCTTTATATTTATATTTATACGCATCAGACACTCACTGGTGGTAAACACAGCGCTCTCTCCTCTACTCAGTGTGTTCTCCTGCTCTGAATGTAGCGTAGCAGTGTACTGGGTAGCAGGCCTCAGGCTCAGGAGGGTGTACTGAGAGAGACGGGCGGGCAGGCGCAGCTTCTTGGGGTTGGAGCCCTCCACAGTGAGGAAGAGACGGTAGCCGGTGATTTTAGCATGAGGGGCGGACCACATCATCACAGCACTGTCCTCAGTCACCTCGGTGAAACGGATATATCTCGGAGCGTCAGGCTCTAAAAAGAAACATCAATAACCCTGTTAGAGGATGTGATGTGTTTGACTTGCACTTCAGGGCTTCTGAACACACAGTATATGTTACATTATTTGATCACTTCACTTCACTTGAGCAAGTCAAACATGTATAAAGATAGGGCGATGCAAGAGGGGGGCACATGATCAAATTATGATATTTAAAAGGTCCCATATTATACTGTTTTTCATCAATATATTATAGGTCTCAGATATATACAAAACATGTCTCTGAAGTGTATGGTTCAAAAATACCAAACAGATCATTGTAGCATCTCATAAACCCCTCTGTTTCAGCCCTGTTTCAAAAGTGCTGATTCTGTGTCTGTTACTTTAGTTGAAAATAAGGAGCCACTCCCCACGCCCCTCTGCAAGATATTTGGTTAAAAAACAAACAATGGTGCTCTAGGAGGAGATTCAGGTGATAAGGTGGGGGGGGGGTTACCTTGGTTGGTTATTGGCTAATGGTTACACAAGCCAAAAAATCGTTATGACATCATAAAGTGGCCAAAATCTGATCAGCTCATTTTCAGACAGGTTTTTATATAAATGGATCAGGACAAAAAGAGAGAATATTTTTTCCTGAAACGTTCAGAATCTCTTTACACAGAGGGGACACATGTTGATGTAGAAAATACATGAAAAAGTGGATTTTGCATAATAGGTGACATTTAAAGAACAGAATCATTAGAATAGGCAGATTTTGGTCATGGCACCTAATGGATGCTATTTTCAACAACTTAAGCTTTTCCGAACAAAAATATTTTACCAGGCAGTGGATTTCCAGCGGTGTTGACCTGTACAAAGAGAGGCTTGCTCTCCAGGCTGTCCTCCACAGAGTAGATACTGATGTTGTACAGCTTCCCAGGTAGGAGGTCACTCAGCGTCACAGATGTTGCCGTGTCAGGGAGAGTCACCTCTGAGCTTTCACCTTCTAGTGAAGGCGTGTAGACCACACGATAGCCTGCGCGGAGGAAGAAATATTACATATCATTTTGAATATGGGATGGTCACAGATGGGTACGAACTAGCAACAAATGGGGAAACGTTTTGGCTGTTACATGTGTCATAGCATACCAGTGATTGGAGCCACTGGTTTTTCCCAGCTGATCATGATTGAAGTTTCTCCCACCGTACCCACTTCATAATCAGCAGGAGCATCAGGTGCTGTGGAACAATTTAAATGTGAGAAGGAAAATTACAACCACATCTTTCATACTTTTTCTTTTCAGGATCACTTGATTTATAATCCTTGCAACATGTTCATTAGGCTGCTTTTGGGTTTGGGATAGGAAACAACACATTAAAGTTGAGCAACTGTATATTTTGTGAGAATTGGAAAATAAAGAAACATGAAAGTGTGATGTGTATCTACTGACCTGTGGTTTGTGTTGTAGAGAGAAATAGATTGTCCTCACCTTTATCTGTAACCTCAAAGTCGTTCCCAGTGTACTTCGTACCAGGCAGTTCTGGAAGAAAAAATACATTTTTTAGACCAGGACTTTTAGGCAGTGCTACAATATTTTATCAGAATGATGGTTTCAAATATTCTGCCTATACCAATGATTGCACTAACTGCGATTTTGATATTGCACTAGTCCATATTATGATTTGTGGAAAATATTTTTTTGTTGCACAGCCCAAGAAAACAGGGCTTTATATTTGTATTTATACGCATCAGACACTCACTGGTGGTAAACACAGCGCTCTCTCCTCTACTCAGCGTGTTCTCCTGCTCTGAATGTAGCGTAGCAGTGTACTGGGTAGCAGGCCTCAGGCTCAGGAGGGTGTACTGAGAGAGACGGGCGGGCAGGCGCAGCTGCTTGGGGTTCGAGCCCTCCACAGTGAGGAAGAGACGGTAGCCGGTGATTTTAGCATGAGGGGCGGACCACATCATCACAGCACTGTCCTCAGTCACCTCGGTGAAACGGATATATCTCGGAGCGTCAGGCTCTAAAAAGAAACATCAATAAACCCTGTTAGAGGATGTGATGTGTTTGACTTGCACTTCAGGGCTTCTGAACACACAGTATATGTTACATTATTTGATGACATCACTTCACTTGAGCAAGTCAAACATGTATAAAGATAGGGTGATGCAGGGGGGGGGCACATGATCAAATTATGATATTTAAAGGTCCCCTATTATACTGTTTTTCATCAATATATTATAGGTCTCAGATATATACAAAACATGTCTCTGAAGTGTTTGGCTCGAAATACCAAACAGATCATTGCAGCATCCCATAATCCTCTCTGTTTTAGCCCTGTTTCAAAAGTGCTGATTCTCTGTCTTTTACTTTAGATGAAAATAAGGAGCCACTCCCCACGCCCCTCTGAGAGATATTTGGTTAAAAAACAAAAAATGGTGCTCTAGGAGGAGATTCAGGTGATAAGGAGGGGGGGTTACCTTGGTTGGTGATTGGCTAATGGTTACACAAGCCAAAAAATCGTTATGACTTCATAAAGTGGCCGAAATCTGATCAGCTCATTTTCAGACAGGTTTTTATATAAATGGATCAGGACAAAAATTGAGCGAATCTTTTTTTCTGAAACTTTCAGAATCTCTTTACACAGAGGGGACACATGTTGATGTATAAAAGACATGAAAAAGTGGATTTTGTATAATAAGTGACCTTTAAAGAACAGAATCATTAGAATAGGCAGATTTTGGTCATAGCACACCAACCATGGATGCTATTTTCAACAACTTAAGCTTTTCCTAACATAAGTATTTTACCAGGCAGTGGATTTCCAGCGGTGTTGACCTGTACAAAGAGAGGCTTGCTCTCCAGGCTGTCCTCCACAGAGTAGATACTGATGTTGTACAGCTTCCCAGGTAGGAGGTCACTCAGTGTCACAGATGTTGCAGTGTCAGGGAGAGTCACCTCCGACCTTTCACCTTCTAGTGAAGGCGTGTAGACCACACGATAGCCTGCGCGGAGGAAGAAATATTACATATCATTTTGAATATGGGATGGTCACAGATGGGTACGAACTAGCAACAAATGGGGAAACGTTTTGGCTGTTACATGTGTCGTAGCATACCAGTGATTGGAGCCACTGGTTTTTGCCAGCTGATCTTGATGGACGTTTCTCCTACCACACCCACTTCATAATCAACAGGAGCATCAGGTGCTGTGAAACAATTTAAATGTGAGAAGGAAAATTACAACCATATCTTTTTCACTTGTTTTTTAAAAGGATCACTTGATTTATAATCCTTGCCACATGTTCATTAGGCTGCTTTCGGGTTTGGGATTGGAAACAACACATTAAAGTTGAGCAACTGTATTTTATTGTGAGAATTAGAAAATAAAGAAACATGAAAGTGTGATGTGTATCTACTGACCTGTGGTTTGTGTTATAGAGAGAAAGAGATTGTCCTTACCTTTATCTGTAGCCTCAAAGTCGTTCCCAGTGTACTTCGTACCAGGCAGTTCTGGAAGAAAAAATACATTTTTTAGGCAGTGCTACAATATTTTATTAGAATGATGGTTTCAAATATTCTGCCAATACGAATTATTTCGCCATCTGCGATTTGGATATTGAACTAATCCATACTATGATTTTGGAGAAAAAAATATATTTGTTGCGTAGCCCAAGAAAAGAGGGCTTTATATTTGTATTTATACGCATCAGACACTCACTGGTGGTAAACACAGCACTCTCTCCTCTACTCAGCGTGTTCTCCTGCTCTGAATGTAGCGTAGCAGTGTACTGGGTAGCAGGCCTCAGGCTCAGGAGGGTGTACTGAGAGAGACGGGCGGGCAGGCGCAGCTTCTTGGGGTTGGAGCCCTCCACAGTGAGGAAGAGACGGTAGCCGGTGATTTTAGCATGAGGGGCGGACCACATCATCACAGCACTGTCCTCAGTCACCTCGGTGAAACGGATATATCTCGGAGCGTCAGGCTCTAAAAAGAAACATCAATAAACCCTGTTAGAGGATGTGATGTGTTTGACTTGCACAACAGGGCTTCTGAACACACAGTATATGTTACATTATTTGATCACTTCACTTCACTTGAGCAAGTCAAACATGTATAAAGATAGGGTGATGCAGGGGGGGGGCACATGATCAAATTATGATATTTAAAGGTCCCCTATTATACTGTTTTTCATCAATGTATTATAGGTCTCAGATATATACAAAACATGTCTCTGAAGTGTTTGGCCTCGAAATACCAAACAGATCATTGTAGCATCTCATAATCCTCTCTGTTTCAGCCCTGTTTCAAAAGTGCTGATTCTGTGTCTGTTACTTTAGATGAAAATAAGGAGCCACTCCCCACGCCCCTCTGAGAGATATTTGGTTAAAAAACAAACAATGGTGCTGTAGGAGGAGATTCAGGTGATAAGGTGGGGGGGGGGTTACCTTGGTTGGTGATTGGCTAATGGTTACAGAAGCCAAAAAATCTTTATGACTTCATAAAGTGGCCAAAATCTGATCAGCTCATTTTCAGACAGGTTTTTATATAAATGGATCAGGACAAAAATTGAGCGAATCTTTTTTTCTGAAACTTTCAGAATCTCTTAACACAGAGGGGACACATGTTGATGTAGAAAAGACATGAAAAAGTGGATTTTGTATAATAGGTGATCTTTAAGAACAGAATCATTAGAATAGGCAGATTTTGGTCATGGCACCAAATGGATGCTATTTTCAACAACTTAAGCTTTTCCTAACATAAGTATTTTACCAGGCAGTGGATTTTCAGCGGTGTTGACCTGTACAAAGAGAGGCTTGCTCTCCAGGCTGTCCTCCACAGAGTAGATACTGATGTTGTACAGCTTCCCAGGTAGGAGGTCACTCAGCGTCACAGATGTTGCCGTGTCAGGGAGAGTCACCTCTGAGCTTTCACCTTCTAGTGAAGGCGTGTAGACCACACGATAGCCTGAAATATTACATATCATTTTGAATATGGGATGGTCACAGATGGGTACGAACTAGCAACAAATGGGGAAACGTTTTGGCTGTTACATGTGTCGTAGCATACCAGTGATTGGAGCCACTGGTTTTTCCCAGCTGATCATGATGGAAGTTTCTCCCACCGTACCCACTTCATAATCAGCAGGAGCATCAGGTGCTGTGGAACAATTTAAATGCGAGAAGGAAAATTACAACCACATCTTTTTTACTTTATTTTTACAGGATCACTTGATTTATAATCCTTGCCACATGTTCATTAGGCTGCTTTTGGGTTAGGGATAGGAAACAACACATTAAAGTTGAGCAACTGTATTTTATTGTGAGAATTGGAAAATAAAGAAACATGAAAGTGTGTTTATATGTGTATCTACTGACCTGTGGTTTGTGTTGTAGAGAGAAAGAGATTGTCCTCACCTTTATCTGTAACCTCAAATTCGTTCCAAATGTACTTCGTACCAGGCAGTTCTGGAAGAAAAAATACATTTTTAGGCAGTGCTACAATATTTTATTGGAATGATGGTTTCAAATATTCTGCCTATACCAATGATTGCGCTAAATGTGATTTTGATATTGCACTAGTCCATATTATGAATTTTTTGTTGCGCAGCCCAAGAAAACAGTGCTTTATATTTGTATTTATACGCATCAGACACTCACTTGTGGTAAACACAGCGCTCTCTCCTCTACTCAGCGTGTTCTCCTGCTCTGAATGTAGCGTAGCAGTGTACTGGGTAGCAGGCCTCAGGCTCAGGAGGGTGTACTGAGAGAGACGGGCGGGCAGGCGCAGCTGCTTGGGGTTGGAGCCCTCCACAGTGAGGAAGAGACGGTAGCCGGTGATTTTAGCATAAGGGGCGGACCACATCATCACAGCACTGTCCTTTGTCACGTTGATGAAACGGATCCTGTACGGAGCGTCAGGCTCTAAAAAGAAACATCAATAAACACTGTTAGATGTGGACAGCTTGATTTTGTGTTAAGAAGGAAGGACTTTACAAGAGGTTTCACAGGTTTAGCTCCTTGAAGAAAAGAAAAAGGAAGAAAGAAAGAAAAATAAGTATGGAAGCCCTCAGAGGCCAATATTAGTGATGGAAGAAACTGGTTTTGCCGTGACCATTTTTATACAGGTACAGTGGAAAAGAAAGGACATAGTTCACCAGGAAGAAAACATTTATCATACAAGTCCCATTTACAAAATTGGGTAGTGTTGCAATTTAGCCAATTACAACAACAAGCTCCATTATCCTGAAATAAAACTATAGTCCACCTTTTTTTATAGATGAAATAAAAGTAACCTAAAATAATCCTTCATCTTTCTAGTTTCACAGATAAACGGTAAAGTTACTTAAAATGATTGTCCTGGGAAAACCAAATGTCATAAACACAAGACAGAAAACTATGAAAATCAGACTCCATCACCAAATCTCTTTTTTCTGTGTTGTGCTTCAGGGCTTCTGAACACACATTATATATTACACTACGGAACATTTCCCATAGCACTCCATCATTCGTTTCATGCTTTGAAACCTTCCGCAGGGCCACTAGTTTTAATTAATTTCTCTGTAGAAGGAAAATCGACTATCAGTGACGGATGTTTGAGTGCAAGTCATTTCCTTGAAGACCTGAGGGCATCTGTCATACTCACTAGTGGTTTGCTCCCCAATAAGTGGTAGACTCTCCTCTCTGCCTTGAAGGGTGTAGACACTGAAGCGGTGCAGTTTTCCTGGAACTAGGTTAGTAACTTCTATGTGGGCGTTTTGTGTTACAGGAAGAGTTATCAGCATCGAAATCGAATCGTGTCCCTCCTCCACAGGGAGAGCGGTAACCCGGTAACCAGAGATGGAGCCGGTTGGGCCGGTCCAGGTCAGAACTATTTTGTTGTCCGTCACCTCGAAGAACTGCAGGTCTGTAGGAGAAGGAACCTCTGTGGACAGGAAAACCACTTAGAATTAAAAATCTATTTAGATGAGAGAACGCCTATTATCAAGCAAAAGAGAAGTGGATACCTCTTATCATCTTAAAATACACAATAAAATACAGAATCATGGGTACTTTTTCGTAATATTATCTGCTAAACAAAGTAGGTATGTCAATTTCATTCCATGATATCTTGGTTTTTATCTTTAAAAACACAATTAAAAAAAACTAATCTAACAGGGTGCAGCTGTTCTAAAGGCTTAAAGATGCTTGAGCTTTAACAGCTTGTAAATAATATCAATTATAACCATCATATGTCAATGTTTGAAGATAATAATAAACTCTACAGAGGGGGATATCCTTAACTGTCCAAAGATGGCAGCAGAAATGTTCCATTAGGCATTTTTATTCTATCCAAACTGTACAAACAAGCACACTTTTTCTGCATTACCTCAACTGGCTCAACAGCACATTTGACCTGGCAGACTACAACTATTTTTTTCACATAACTTAGAATAAGAGTCCAACAGCTGTGAACTTGATGACTTCACTTTCCATTGGTATTTTCCAGTTTAAAGAATTGGAAACTTTGACATACATTAGTGACAAGGCCACAGGATGAATTTCAGGTTGATTCTGCAGAGTACAGAGAATAATAGCTCAAACAAGTATACAGATATGGCCGAGCAGGGGGGCGCCAAGGATCAAATTATGATATTTAAAGATCAGAATCGGCAGATTTTGGTCATTGCACACCAACTACTGGTGCTACTTTTAACAAGAGACACTACTTTTAACATGCCCCATAGCATATTAATCCAAACTCTCCTGGACCATCGCCTTATCGTGGTGTAGAGGTTTGTTTGCCCCTATGAACCTGGGGGTTGTGTTGTTTGAAAGAGCTACGTGGACAACACAACGTTTGGATAATTCTGCCTTCTTGTAGACCCTGGAAAATAGTCGTGTACTGGGCTCCTATAGGGGACTCGATACTTCCTTACTAGGAGACTTTACTGCACATGTGGGCATTGATAGATACACTTGGAGGGGCGTGATTGAGGCTGAATTACACATGTTGAAGCATGAGTGGCCTTTGAAGAAGAATAAAACAACACACACGTGTTCCAAGTTCAACTTTTCATAACAGTATTTTACCAGGCAGTGGATTTCCAGCGGTGTTGACCTGTACAAAGATAGGCTTGCTCTCCAGGCTGTCTTCAACAGCGTAGATACTGATGTTGTACAGCTTTCCGGGTCGGAGGTCACTCAGTGTCACAGATGTTGCCGTGTCAGGGAGAGTCAGTTCAGTGCTTTCACCTTCTAGTGAAGGCGTGTAGACCACACGATAGCCTGCACGGGGAGAGAGGAAATACGGGTCATTGTGCGTACGTAAATGACACAGATGGGTTTGAATTAGCCACATGTGTCGTAGCATACCAGTGATTGGAGCCACTGGTTTTCCCAGCTGATCTTGATGGAAGTTTCTCCCACCGCATCCACTTCATGATCAACAGGAGCATCAGGTGCTGTGGAACATTTAAATGTGAGAAGGAAAATTATAACCACATTTTTTTTCTTTTTCTTTTATAGGATCACTTGATTTGTATTTCTTTTTTTGTGAGAATTGGATAAATAAAAAGGAAGAAAGTGTGTTTGTGTGTGTGTGTCTACTAACCTGTGGTTTGTGTAGTAGAGAGAATGAGGTTGTCATCTCCGGTTCCTGTAACCTCATAGACGTTAACAGTGTACCTCCTCCCAGGCAGAAGCTCATTAATGTTCACTGAGGTAGCTGTGTGGGGCAGGTCTTGAAGGAAGAAAAAAATAGATTAGTTTACATACATTCACATTTTTTAAAGCAGGTAAATAAAGACATTTTGTTGCTGACAAATTAAGAGTACCGTCTTGTTTAAATGTTTTTTTGTTTGCATGTATTCATGTTTGTAAAGGGTTCATCTGGTCTTACCTAGCACCAGGGGTTCCCCAGTCGCCCGTCCCTCCTCACTGAGCTCATACTCCACTCTAAAACCAGACACCGTGTCGGAGGCGGAAACCCAGGAGATGACAAAGCTGCTGGAGGTAATTTCAGTCACCGACTCTGAGGTGTCAATCTCAGCCGGAAGCAGGTCGGTCTCGCCTTCTGATGTCGCCACTGCAGAAAAAAAGAGAGAGATTGTAAAAAAAAGAGGTGGCTACTCGCTGCCTCTGAGAACAGAACTGGCAACACTGTCATCATCATTTATATTTATTTACAAGTGCACATTAAGCAGTGATATTGCAAAAAAACTGGCCTGAATGAAAAGAGTAACAAAATGACCTTAGACTGTTAACCACTGTTTAGAATAATGCTATGTACATAAACACTTATTTTTAACAATATATTGATGTTATTAATGGCTGCTATTTCAACACTTTTTATATATTTAAATATTTGTTGTATAATGTTGCTACTTTTTTTTGTGACATGGATGAGTACTTATTTGATTAACATTATTTTGATTGCGTCTTCTTTTACTATTATTTTTGCCTTTGTATCTGCACTGTCAATTGCTAAAGGACAAATAAATGTACTTATTCGGATCCTGAAAGATCGAATGTGGCAACTTCTCCACTCTGAGATCTGTCGACTCTTTCCACTCACATGATCCATAATTGGTGGTGAAGTCAAAGCGGGTGATTTCTCTGCGTCCAAACCGCAGCACACTGATCAGTTGACCCTCGTAGGTGATGCCCGACTTCAGCCCTGAGATGGTGTAGGAGTTCAGGTGGCCGGGGATCAGCACCTCTCTCCATGGGTTATTAGTGTTTTTCTGAAAAAATGATAAAGAATGTTAGAAGAACAAGCGATGGGACAGTATTCAAAAGCCAAGCATGCAGAATCAGTGTAGAGATGAGCAAGAAGAGGCAATATTTTTTACCAGGAAGCTATATCTAAAAGAACTCACCACTTTCCATTTGAGGATGTACTGGGTGATGTGGGCAGACTGTGGGGCGTTCCACTGAATAGGGTGGGAGTTGGGTTGGTTGCCAGACTCAGTTATGATCACCTGGACAGGACGGGTACCACCTAAAAGAGATAAAGACAGAGGGGTAAGCACTCATACAGAACAGAAGTTTATTTTAGATGAAGATATCATACTATGAAATCGTGTAGAGATTAAACAGATAAGAAGTGGCACTGTTCAATGTTGTAAATAACAAATATCTTGATTCAATATTTACGTTGGTAAGCAGACAAACAATCTTATTTGTGGGGATACTGGCTGTTCTACAATCTGAGAACATAAAAAAACCTGCAGTTTTACATGATATGACTTGAAAGTGAGTATTACTGAGTGTGCTATAGAAAACAGAAATAGCTAGGGGAAACTAGCTTGTTCCTGTGAGATTCCAGCCCAAAATGTAACAGCTAGAGAGGAGAAGACCTTTACTTCACTTCCTTCCCTCTTTAACGTCCTCTATTAAATCACTTTTTTCATACCTTACATTTTCTCTCTGACAGACTACAGCTCATTTGTAAAAGAGCAGCACAAATAAAATGTGGAAATATAGTAGAATATCTTTACAACAAAGATTTGGGATTGTAGCCTTTCTAGGCCATATACATGCATAAAAACCTATATAACACAATACAGGAAAGGGAAAACCCCAAAAATAATAATGGGGCCGCTTCAATTGATTCTATTAAACAGATGCATAGACCACACAAGTAGAATATAAAAGGTGCTAGGCTGAGAATGCAAAATGACATAAGCAGAGGCTCGTAACTGAAGCATCTTTTTCGGAAATGAAAAAAGGGCATCAAGTCATCTTTAATGTAAACAAAAGTCATGTGGCAAGCAGACTACCGACATGAGCTGTGCTGATAGAAACTGGTAGCTTCTATAAAGAACTGGGGTTTTCTAACCACCTTTCCATATAGCAGACCTGTAATCAAAGTTTGTGAGCAAGTGGCTCGGTTAACCAGAAGTTGGAGGCAGATATACAGACCTCAAAAACAATCTGGGACCAATTACTGCCTATTACAGACCCACAGAGCCACAGGCCACTGGCGAGGGTAAGGGTTACACAGAATCAGATGTGGGACGCAAATGAAAACGGATGCACGTGTGTACATGCAGTGGATATACTGCATGTACACACACATAATCTCCCAGCATAACATGCATACATCTGGGTAGCACACATACATTCACAAATACATCCATCCTTACTTTGCACAGAGACATAACATTGATTCTAGATACGGATGGTTTCACCACAGTAAAGGGGAAGTAATGCTGAGAGTTATCCTAACAATAAGATAAGATTGAAGATAAAACTACACTCCAGACATAGATAAAAGCAGACAGTGGAAAAGAAAACAGCTTTTTCTTTACATCTTATCAGTGTAGTGCTAAATCGGAGACCTGTGAAACCCCTTTTTAAAATATCCTTCACTGGGGTTTTCCATGTTTACCTTTTATGGTGTTTTACCCAGTATGTGCCTCGGAGTCTGGATTTGCCTCTTGCTGCCCTTAAATCTTAGCATGCTGTATTTTGTATGCCCAGACACACACACGCACACACACTCACACACACTCACACACACTCACAGAGCAAGTTCACAGCTGGTTGCCATTACAGCCACTTACGGAGCAATAGTGGCCTACATTTTGTATCTACCATCAACCTGCTCCACACACAGAGCAAACAAGTTCAATTGTTCTTTAAAGAAGGTGTTACAAAGTTCTGTTTCCACAAGCATAAATAAAAAATATATCATACTGTGCAGTTTTAGGCAGAATTAGGGAAATGTAAAAGAAGTAGGAACGACTCTACATGTGGGTTTATTGGTGGATGCCATACAAGAATGTGAAGAACGTGGTCAGTTGTAATGACAAAGGGGGCTGAACACTAACAAGTAAAATCCAGACCTACCCAGAAGGGAACTTAAATTAAAGACAAAACTGAAAGAAAGATTTGTTTGTTTAAAGTTGTTTTGCAGTAGGACTGTCTAGCCAAGCAGAAATTAGGTCAGTTGCACTACTTTCTTGCACTATTTTAGTGTCTGTGTTCTCACTGCCAACAACTACACTGTAGCTACTGTGCATTTATAATAAAGCCTCTAAATCTTTGCATAATGTTCTGTAATGAAGCATGGCTTTATTTTTTTATTATGTTCGTTTTAACTTAAAGACATGAGGTTACTTTTTAAGTGATTGTTAAAATCTTCAAAGTTCACAACTGTTGTTAAACAGGTTTTCAAAACGGGGTAGGTGTGTGTTTGTAAAGGGGGGTTTTGTATACACACACGTGCACTCTGCTGCTTTGTACAGCTGTGGCAACAGCACAGGGGATGTACCACATGCTAGCAGGAACAAACGCTCAGAGTGGGGAAAAGAGGAAATCACACCCCCTCCCATCTCTGGCTGTTTCACATCAAAGTCAAGGGCCTTATTTTAGAGGTGACATAAACAAATATTTTAAGTGCAGGAGTTGGAGTGCAAGTTGGAAAGTTTGCATATTTTACCATCAGAAATACTAAACAAAGTGAGAAATAAGTATCTATTTTACACCTACTGTGAACATATTGACCATTCGTTATCCTGCAAAAACCCAGAATTCAAATAGAAATCCAGCTGGATTTCCTATTTAAGAACTCAAAGCTTTAACTACTTTGATGAACTCTAAAAAACATCATAAAATGAAATGGTACCAGACACTGAAACAGGATCAAGTTGTTAACAGTTGGAAAACAAACTCAAGGCATATGAGGGATTTTACATGATTAGTTAAAATAGTACAGTCTGTGGCCGTATATGTACTTTTATGTTCAAATGTAAATAATCTTATATTATTTTTGTATTATTTAAGAAGCATAATGGATAAGATAACCAGTGAGGAATAAAATGTTGCTAATAAAAACTGAAAAATTACAAATCAAGCCAATTCATTGCATTGATTTAAATCGTTTATACCAATCGTGCCATAGAGCAGTCATTGTATGCGACTTTTCTCTTTTACCATTGGCCAATGTATATACAATGATATCATTTGAATTTGAATGATAACACAACACTGCCCAGCAAAGCCTTTCACAACCACTTCTCAAAGCTTCCAAAGAACATATCTGACTGTTAACAATTGCATATTGTCAGAAGTGAGACAGTATCACAACATTGCGGAGCTCTAATGTATGTTAAACATCTTACCTGGGTAGGACTGCTGGGGCTCGCAGCTGAGCTCTCCGATGCCGTTGCCATAGCAGTAGCACTTGTACAGGACTCCTTGGATGACTTTATCCCAAGACTCTCCGATCTTATAGAAGGCTCTCGTCTCCGGTTCCTGGCACTGATCTGAGGGCAGAGTTGCAAAGGAACAGTTCATTCAACAGTGACCACAGGCAAGAGTTCTCAAATATCATGCTTCACGTGTGAGGTTCTGCAGTTGTTTTAAATGAATTACATTTTCAACAAGCGGTGCCAATCAAAATGGTGCATATTTAAGTGTGGAAGTGAAACAGTAATAAATATACATAATTATCAAATGGGGATTGTATTGAGACCATTACATCAAATTAATTTGATGGTATAAATGGTGCAGTCTGTTAGGTGTAAGCCTGTGAACTCACCGATGGCATCACACTTCCAGCGCCCACGTCCCTGTCCAAAGCAGGTGCAGTTCATGGTGTAGCCCTCCTCGTGTTGTTTGGTGAAGGTTTGGTTCACCTCATAGGTCAGACTATCTACAACACACTGGTCTGTAATAGGCAAACAAACACAGATATGTAAAAGCAAAATCAGGCTTCTTTACTAGCAACCTCTCTGCTTTTTCACATCTGCTTTTTCACAGGGTGTGTGATGCAGGTGCAAATGAAGCCCTGTAAAATGCAGGTGTCCAGCCTGACTTTTAACCTTTTGGTTGATGAGTGATTATATCACCTGTGACCTTTCACCTCTTCACTCTGAGTATTCCAATATTACCCTCTAATTATGACCCGACAGAAACCCTGCCACAGCAGCAACTCAATCACCTAACAGGGTCCGTCCCTCTCTCATACAGCCACACACACTCACCTTTAAGCTGGGAGTAAGCAACACAACTCCATTCTCCTCTGCCATTGCCGACGCATGTACAACGCATCATGTGACCCAGAACTTCGTGCCGTTTGTCCCACTGGTCTCCCACACGGTACATCACCCCTTCATTGGTCGTACACACTTCTTCATGGGCTACAACACACAGGATAAAACCAGTTAAAAAAACGCATAGTCATTTGTTGTAATCTTTACTCAAGTTTGAACAATTTAGGGCAAAACCTGAGACAAAATCATACACAACGTTGGTTAAAAAATGAATATGCCACACAAAATTGTGCAACAAAACAAGTTAGTAAACAAAAGCAGTGCATTCCTGCATCGAGATAAATAAATACTAAACACACATTGTGACAAATGATCCCCATCGGAGATCACCGATTCTACCCTACAATTACTACAACACAAGGCTGTAGAGGATACAGCCATTACAGAACACCTGTGCCCATAGACAAGATTTTCCAGGATGGAAAGCCAGCAACAGCTGTCTCGTGTCCTCATGCGTATGAATGGCTGTGTGTGTTCCCCATATGTTGCCCGGTAATTATAAAGAGTGAGTCATTTTTAATCAGGTATGATAGAGATGTTTTGAAGATGGGTGGGACAGGCAGAGACCTGCATCTATGCGTTTGTACAAGGGGGGGGAAATTGCTTCTACTTATTGGTCTGTATAGCCACAAAGCAGCCCTGATGTAATACAGAAGCAGAGCTTGTTTTGTTAAAAAGTAGCATATATGGTCGAAACACAAGTCAGTTCCATACTAAATGTCATTGCTTCAACATGTTGTAGAGCCAGAGGTGCAGACTAAGCTGATATGGATGCATCTGAGTACATATCTGTTTGTCTCCATATAGGGAAGGGAAGCGGCAGTGGAGATAAAGAGCGGATATGCTGTCTTGGAGTGCAGCCAAAACTGAGGTGTTTGATGATATGGCGCTTTATATATTTTCAAATCAGTCTGTTTGAGATGCAGAAAGTATTTTAACCTGCTTTAAAACGGTTCCACTTACAAATGGTAAACTTTAGGGTAAATCTAAATATATTTGGCATCAACTGAACCCTGTGTTAACACTCTACAGTCAAGCTACATTTATGTCTTTAGAACCAGTCAATACCTTTATAGGAAATACACCACTGGTTTTATGAAAGAGACCATTTTAAACTTAAATGGCTGTTTGGATATTGCAGCCAACAGCACTGGGAGCTACAACACTTTTCTTCCAGGAAAAATGTATTCAGAAATAGCAAAGTATGTTATGAGACTCCAACTGAGATGCTGTGGGGAAAAACAGTTTTTCCAAAAGAATGAGTGTAATGCAAAACTGTTATATAAGTAATTATGTTATATTGCTGCAGAGGTAGTGGATCTAACAATGTAAATGGTGCAGTTGGTGTAGGAGAGGTGCAGACCACATTAGCCTATCCAGCATCTTCCCGTAGGACTGCCACAGGTGGGGCAGGGGGCTATTACTTTTCTTTAACCACAGCCATTAACATCTCAAGTACCGTGTTTGTTTTGACAATCCCTGTGAAGTCATTAATGTCAATATCAAAGACCCCCTGCTGCTTTGATTGCTGGTCTGAGGTTAACACAGACAACCCGCTCTGACACTAGCTAAAGGGCATGAACGCAGTTTTTCTCCTCTTTAAATCTTGACAGGGTGTTGTTAAAGACAGGGTGTCGACCAAAAGGTGGGTCCCAGCACCGACGTAGCCATATAAATGGAATTTCTGAAGAAAATTAAAGCTTAAACAGAACATTTAAAAAAAAGTATGATCCATCATCTCATCATGTTCAATGTACTTTATAAAACCATTAAAAATACCTGTTCTCTAGGCTGTCCATATGCACACATGATGAACTTCTTAAAAGTACTGCTTGTCTTTTTTTGCTACTCTTCAAAAAACCAACAGAAGATTAGTTCTAGATCAAATAAATCATTTTCCCAGAATTCTAAGACAATATATCCCAGATAAATCCTGTAAATTGTGAAGACTGCTCCCAAAAAGACTATTTTCACATTATTATCAACTTAAGACTCTACCAAGGACTTCTTTAATTGAGATAACAGGAACACATATTTCTTTTTTAAGTTACTTCATACATAATTGTTGATATTATAACATAGTCACTAATTCTGACTGAAAACTAAACTTGACCAATGGCTAAGACAAATCTTAGTGTTTCAATACAATTTTGTTTAAAGAACTTAGAGAGATAATATTAACATTCACAGCATTTGTCATGTCTAGCTCCTTCTTTTTCTACTGAATTTGGCAAGTGTCACCACAACGTTGTAATTTAGACTATTAAATTAGGCATATTATCTAGACATCAACATGCAGGTGCTTGATTACTAAATCAGTCCCAAAGATGTTGTTAGCTTTGAGTCTGTGTTAAACAACCTGTAGGCAACATCATTACCATTTGATTATTCCTTCAGAGACATTAGTGCCCTGTCATCGCCCCCCTAGTGTTTCGCTGGCTTCTGCCTCTTTTGTTACCCATGGAGACCTAATTGGCACCTAAACAACACAACAACACATTTCTTATAAATAAAAGGGTGTAAGAACTGTAAATTAGATTACGTCTGCGCCATGAGTCCTGACTCCTTCTAACATCCCTCTGATAACAGCTTTTATGTAAATGAATGCCCATTAAATCTTTTCATCGTCACTGCATGGTCTCAATACAAAGGCCATGTTAACTTGTTGATTCAGACTGGGTGGAGAAATATTTGACTTAAGACTGGGAGGGACCTTACAATTAGCCGGGCTAATCACGTTAGTGGCCCCCATGGCTATCATATTTGAGAGACAGCAACTCATTGCTTGAAACTGATTACAGTGTAATCTGCAAATTTCAAACAACTCCAACCCCTCCAGCCCGAACATTTAGGGTCTCTGTGTTCCCGTCATTCCCTATCTCTTCATCACACAGACACAAAGACATACCAGCCATAGGACAGAAGCCAAAGCGATGTTCTGCATCATAGTCTGTCGTTGTGCCACACCACTTCATGCCGTCTCTACGTCCATCAGCAGTACAGTCCGTGTAGTTTCTTCCATTATAGAGGTAGGGGAACTGGCACAGAGCACCATTTGAATTACCGCCTCGTGTCACCACCATTACTGTTTAAAGAAAAAATATATTAAACTATTGTTTTAATGATATATAGTGTATACCAAACATATTCACAAAATGTAGCTGTGATGCAGATACTTGTTGAGGCCTTTCTGGGGTTTTAGTTGTTAAACCAGACTACTCAATAAAGTTAGCAAATTTTATTAAACAGCTATTACCTAAATGTGCTTAAATTGATATTAAATGTGTCATTTACTTTGCTGACACATTTTGAATAGGGAATCAAGGGAAAACCCTTGATAGGCTACTGTTAAAAACCCTGCACTTTAGCTGTTTGAGCTAACGTTAGCATAAATGAGGACAAGCTAGTTCACAGCCCTAAAAATATCTAAATACAAAAACAGCTAGACCACAGAAGTTGAAGGTCCCTTCTGAACTTTAATTTATGTGTTCTGTTTTAACTCACATATCACGCTAGGCTAGCTTAATTATTCACGGAATACTTTTTCTACAGAAAGAAAATCACCTCTGTTGGTCTTTCCAACAACAAAATGATCCAGTCAACTTTCTTTAAATGAAAAAAACGAAAAAAGGAACAATATGCAGTACACCAGATACCCATATAACTCAGAAGTAGCTATTTTTAGGTTTAATGGAGTACATTTTCCACAAAGTCGCACAATTCACACCTTATAATATTAACAACAAAATAACTCACCATTTTTCTCAGTACAGAAAGAATATTTCTGTTCTGTCTCATAGTCAGAGGAGGTGGAACACCAGAGCTGTCCATCACTGCGCCCATCAGAGATACAGGAGTGGTAGGTCTTGCCCTTGTAGACAAAGGGAAACACACAGGGCTGACCTCCGGAGTTGCCACCATACACTGGAGAAGGTCCATCTGCATCAAGACAGGAAACCACACAAATACAGTTAATATGACTGAGCATATGAAAACATTTGAGATGTTTGCCTTAGCTTCATTAAGGCCGGGGTTTGGTCCTTAATTACACAACTTCACAAATGTATTGGTTTCATGCCTTTTGGCAAAATGATTAGCAAATTATGTCAGATTTTGGTTAATGCTGTGTTTGTGTAAAGGGAACATCTCTTACCCCACTGCACACAGCTGATTCCATTCCCAAGACAGGTACAGATCAACTGCTTGGCTCCCTGGTTCTTCATCCAGCGTTGGCCAATGAAGTAAGAAAGTCCTGCATCCGTTCGACAGGGTCCTTCCTGGGGAACCTCAGACACACTGGCAGGCTGGTAGACCGCAGGCTGGATGTTAGTGATCACACGAGAGCCAGTACCTGAAAAGTAACATTTATCCAGGTTAGTGTATAGCAACAGTATCACATAAGAAAACTTCCCAAATATAAAGTTACCAATTAATGGGAGATAATAAAGTTGAATAGGGTATAAATGTTAACTATTATATATCTTCAGTAAACTGCCCTAGTTGATTACACATGAAGACATATTTTTTTGTATCAAAATGTTTCTGAAATAGTTTCTTCAAATATATTTAGCAATTATCTAAACTGTTGGCGAATTATGGACAAATCTATAGAATCAAAAATACCAATTGTAATGAAATTAACAACTGTATTTTAATTTGTAATCTTTTCTTTTCATAAGTATGAAAAAATACATGTCCAATTGCATGAAAAAGGGATGTTGCCGCCTATATTGTCTCAGTGATGATGTTGCTAAAAGTTACAATTATACCACACGTATACACATGTTTGAACATGCAACAGTCACTGGAGTTCAGATGAGTTCAGCTGAAACAATCTGTTTGTTGTAGGGATGCCAGAAACTGACCATGATCAAATTCGAAAATCGGACAGCCCTGGCGAATATTAATCGATTATTCGCCGCCTCGCGCCCATTCCCCCCCACCCCCCGCGGGAGAGAAATTTATTTTTTATTTTTGCAGAGCTTGTATTTTACTTCATTTGCACTTGTCAGTTCGAAGTAGTTCCACGAGGAACTCTTCTTTGTTCATCTTTAGTTGTGTTGTTCTCACTGTTCTGTATATCGCCAATAAATCAATCGCACGTGTGACGGAGAAGGGGGGGGGGGTCGGTGTGTAGCAGGCTGCAGCAGGCAGCAGCAGTCTGCACTCTGCGCAGCCTGCGGCTTCCTCCAAGTTTACAGTAAAACAAACTGGTGGTGTGACCAATGGCCATTTACAATTATTAATACTATTACTATTATTAGCATTAGTCTATATTTTGGTTGAAACTAAGCCAGGAAAAAAAAGAAAAACATAAATAATAATAAAAAAAATATATAAATAAAATCGAATTTTAAAAATAATTTTCGATTATGGAGACTGTAACGAATATTCGAAAAATCGAATAATCGCTGGCATCCCTAGTTTGTTGTACTGCATAACTTCCTACAATGAAATAAATATGTGGCTTTCATTTCCACTGGAAGAGGACTGAACCATGCTATCAATGATAATGCGCTATTTGCAAAAGCAAAGCTACAATAAAGCTTGAGGTTTTTACTGTCCATGAGTCAGAAGGAGCATATGTTTCCATCTCACACCCAATAATCACTTCAAACCACTTCAAGCACTAATGTTCCACTGTTTAATTTCTCCTTCTTTATTTCCCTGGTTCCCCATCTCTCTTTCTCATGAGGTCATGGTCATGACTTTCAACACACGTCTTTCTCACTTCAACACTTGGACACTTGGCACTTCTTATCTCTCCCTCCTGACAGCATCTGTCTCTGGTATACATTATTCTCTCCTCACACAGAGGGGGAGGAGGAAAGACAAAAAAAAGAAAGAGACGGGTATATTATAATTTCTCACCCAGGCCAGTGGTGTGAAGTGAAGCATGTCGCTCACACTTCCACTCCCCTCGTCCGTTCCCAGTGCACAGACACTGGAGTGAGTGGCCTCGGGCGTCTGTCTTTGTCCAGGTATCCCCAATACGGTAAGAGGTCACAGTATCCTGGTCGTTACAGCGATCTGGGAGAGAGTACATGAGAGGAATTCAATACAAATAATTTGAAACTTTGAGACGGCAATGTGGCCTTTTGGGTGGGAAGCTTTCATGTGCTGAGTGCATGTTTAAAAGACTGCAGTCATCCTGCGGGGAGTAACTCCTCCTGGCTACCAGCTGTTTCCATGTTTGTGAATGTTGTTGATAACTTGTTGAACACATGCATGATCGTTTATTGATAACCTCCACTAAAAAACTTCCAAGGCCACCCCGAAGTCTTTCATGCGACAAAAGCCCAACAGGGAATAACATAAATGTTCATCTGTTACATCAGCCATCATCATTACGGATGTGTGTAATGGTCCTAATTGGAAACACAACCGGTAAATCTTCCAATAAATCACAAGATACAAGGTTTGCTTGTGGCTCTGCCAATGAGGCTGGAGAGTTTATCTTTGTATCTTTAATTATTAAGCAGACTGTATTGACACGTGAATTGTTCAAAAATAGCAGCGTTTCAGCAGCATTTAATTTAATTTCCTGCTTGTGTTGCCCTTAATGACCCAGCTTTCCCACTCTGTTTCTGGACAAGTAGAGTTATATTTAAATCGAGAGAAGAAACAAAAAGAGAAAAGGTCTTTCATAAAAAACTGTGAAAAGAAAGCCGCATCACATGTATTTTTCAAGAATGATTTTCCCATACACATTGCAAAGGAGAGAAAAATAATAAATACATTTGGGAGCTGAAAGCTATAAATACTTACTTCTGGAGGTGCATGTGATGCGTCCACTTCCCTCTCCCATACAGGTGCAGTCCACCACCATCCATCCCTGGTATGGCTTCTCCCAAGTCTCCCCGACAACATAGGAGGTTCCCGCCGAGTTGTCATAACAACGCTCCGCTGCAGGAAACAGAGACTGATGAGCTGCTAAATCTATAGACAGCTGAAGGGATAAACTATTTCTGTAGGCTTAACCGGAAGTTACTATGGCCCTGGTTCCCATGACCAAAAGCCAATGGGATTTAAATGTAAACATATTGTAATTTCCGCCATCTAACCAAAAACTGATTAGGGAATCAGAAGTGGAAAAATGCCAAGTCATTTCTGGGTTTTATCAAATATTTAGATAAACACTCATTTTACTCATTAACCAACTTTTGAAAAAGACACAATAATGATATTGTGATCTCCAATTTCCTGGCTATTTGCCAGTTTTCCCAGCAGCTGTCTGTTAGTCACAGTCTGTCTGAATGACTCACCCACAGGTTTGCAGGTCCACTCTCCCTTCCCATTACCCAGACACACACACTCCAACACGTAGCCTCCTGTTTCGTGGGGTCTCTTCCAGGTGTCTCCGATCTTATATGAAGCCCCACCCTCATGACAGCGGTCTGTGTAGACAGAATTTCAGACAGATTTTAGAGATATGTTTGTCCAGAAAGCAAGCAAAAGGAAAAGAAACATAGACATTTCTCCCATTATCTAACCACCTGGCTAACTGCTACCAGCTGTGCAGCACCAGTTGCTAATCAGATGTGGAGAATATGGAGATGAAATAGTTTACCAGCCTCAGTCTGGCAGACCAGGATATACACAGACACATTAGCTAGGATGTGCGGTCTAGGGGTTACAAAAGGGTAATGGCAGCTTCTTGTAAACCAGACATAACACATACAAAAACACTTACTGGCGATGGTGCAGCTGATCTTGCCCCTCCCTGATCCGATACAGGTACAGTCCCAGATCATGCCTTCCTTTGGTCTTTCATAGGTTTCTCCCACAGTGTAGGACAGCTGGTTGATCTTATCAAAGCACTTTTCCTCTGCTAAGGGGAGAAAAAAGTGGGAAAGTTGTGTTGATTATGTTTTTTCTACTTGCATAAAGGGAAATTAAGATGTATTGAAGTGGGAAACAGCCACATTTCTGTACAAAATTAAACACACTAACCTTCTGGTTTGCTTTTACACTTGATGCCAGCGACTCCATGGCAGGTACAGATCAGAGTGCTGCCTAAATACGGCCGTTCCCATTGGTCATTTATAGCATAGAACTGACCATTCTCTATACAACCATCTGGCAGGAGGAAAAAAGCACGAGTTAAAAATACAGCTGATGGGACATTTAAACAGCAGGAGGTCAATAAAAAGCACCACCCTCCCTTTGCTTACGCTAAAACACATAGTGTAGGGAAAATGTGACAGAGAAAAAAAACACACTCCACCCTCACACACCCACAAACACTGTACCTGCTTACCATGTAATTTTTCAAAAGGAAAATAAGGCTACTGGAAAACTGACTAGCCCTGACCTTAAACTACCAAACACATAGCAGTATTATACATTAAAAAAGACAAAACATAACAAAATAAGCAAAAGCTACATTGGAATAAACATGTTATGGTTGAAGAAGGCTACACCCATGCCTGCGAAATTGACCCTGGATGTGTTCATTTGACTTCAAAGTCCCCCAGGGCTGAGTAATAAATCAGTTGCACTCTGAGTGGGGAATTATACACCTTTACTCTTTCTCTCCCCCACCAGGCATGTTCTTTGTTCACATCTCATGACTTTACATGCAAGAAACATCTCTCATTTCTTTTTTGAACTTCAATTAAAGCCAAGATTTTTTTGTTTAAGTTTTTTTTAAAGCTTTGATTGTTTGTCAATTAACAACGATGGAAAAGTTGCTAAAGTATTCCAGTGACTCCCAAAATCAGAGTTTAGATGCTTCATGTGGATTATATCAACACATTACACCAAGCATTACTTTATTTATAGGCTTCTCAAGTAGTTTTAATTGCCAACACGTTCAAACTGATTCACATCACCTATACTAAGATTAAATGGACAGTATGCATCCAGTTAGATATTACTGTTGCTTTCTGTCTCAACAACAAATGTCAAACACATGACCCAAATTAACTGTAATTTCATCATTTACTCTCTGAAGTCCCTCAAGTGACCTCTGATGGCTCCCAGTTAATTCACTTTTACACAAATCCGTTGTTAAGTAATTATAACTCTGGGAAAAACACTTACCCTGAGAGGCTGAGGGGACCTGATGCTGCTGACCCTGTCGCCGACTCCTGTGCGCGGATTTGGGCATACAGTTCACCGCGCTCCCGATGCAGAGCGCAACCAGCACCCTGGCTATAGTGCTGCCGGACATTACTGTTAAATATGAGCCACTCGGCTTTTGCAGAATGAGGTTACAGGTGCTCCTTCTGCAAAGTTTATTTCACAACCAGAGGGAGAGAAGTTGGTTCCAGTGCAAATCTTGTTTTTTGTCCCTGCCGCCGCGCTCCAACCTCCCAGATCAGTCCGCTCCTCTGCAGTCTGCGGCCGCAGTGTGAAGGTTACCGTTACTGCCTGTGGGAGTGATTTATCTGGGCATGGCTTAGATTATTCAGCCGGAGGAGGAGGGAGTTCCAACGACAGAGGCCGACTACCCACGCAGCAGCACGTAGAAAGAAAGTGTGAGGCAGACAAACTTTTCACGAAACAAACGGTGACAAATTCCAGATCATAAACTCTTCCTCTTTCTAGCATGTGTTTGAACTGTGAGGTAAGATTATTTCCCAACACGCCATGCTTGTCTCCATGCAACACTGAGGTAAACACACTTTAAAGTATCTCATGATGTCGAGGTATTGCCCCACATTAGGAGATTCTGATTACCCCACCCAGTTAAAAATGTAGGGTCCTTGCCCCATGACCATTATACTCAGGGCCGGCCCTAGACTTTTGGGGGCCCTAAGCGAGCTTTGGCTTGGGGGCCCCCCTCACTCTAGCGCGTTCTCACTTCACACAACACGGAACTAACTTTTGTCTTATGATGTTAGCATAAGCACACATATTGTATAAATAAGCATGTAAACACCGTGGACCTAACCTCCTCTAGGGGGGGTCCTTACCTCCTCTAGGGGGGTCCGGGGGCATGCTCCCCCGGGAAGATTTTTTTTTAAATATTGAAGTTAAAAGCATCAATCTGGTGCACTTTGAGAGCAAAATTAAGAGATCTATGGATACATCTCTCAACACCCATATGAAACAGACCTGTAAACAGATTTTTATTTATGGATATTTTACAAATTACTCCCCTTTTAAACTGTATTCTTGTTTTGTCATATAGTATTTCATAACTGTTTTTCATTTATTCTCTCTGGCTGTCCATCTCATAATGTTCACATAAAAACTAGCTGTCAATAGGAATATAATTCAGAAGAATTATAATTTCATGCAAAAATCTGTCACAAAAAGAGGTTGCCCATTTAAATTCAGGTGTTGTTATGGCAACGTCAGTGGCCAAACAGCCACATTTCCTGCTGCAAATACGTTCAAACATGCTGTCGACACGTAAAGCAGTGGCAACTATGCCACCATTTCAGCTGACTTTTTCTCAGAAATACTTTCACATAACATCCATATATTTCAGTGCTAGGTTGATGCTTAGCTAAGCTAACTATGAAACACTTTAACTGACAGGACTCAGGATCAACTGTGTACTGTAAGGTAGCTTCTAGCTTCATGTCGAACAGTAAGTCAACATTTCCCAGAGAGCTTTCTTTGAAATCATCAGGTAACGCTAAAAAACATTACATTTAGATTGTATGACAAAGTGTTTATTTAATATATCTGGCTAGCTATAGCTACTTGCTAACGGTTTAGCTTACCCCCGCGATTCAAAGTAACGTCAACGTAGCTGTAATTTCTCCTGGCTCAAGTGCTGGCTCTGGGGTTGTTGTGTGAACCACCACTTGAGAATTGTCATCTTTTTTAAGAACAAATGTTCTTATGTCCATTTTCAAAAACTCTGAGTATGAGACTGACAGTTTATTTTAAACATTGTCACAGCTCACAGGACCTGTACCTGTCAGCCAATAAGACAGATGTTTATTTCCATTCAACTCTCTGGTTGGTCTGGTGCCTTGCCTCTGTTGCATTCACTGAACATGGGAAATTACAATCCTGCCGTCCTCTCTAGTGTCATGATGAGGTTCAGGTAAAGCACGGTTAATGTATTATATGATTGACTCAATAATATAAGACATGACTTTGAGAGTAGGCAATCTAGGCATATTAACAAAATTAATTAAACATACTTATCACGGCGACGGTGTACTGAGATAAAAAACGGTGTAGCCTACACCTGCAGACAGACGGCAGGCGGAAAAACCTTTTAAAATGCGTGTTGTCTAATGGAGATCGGCTAAGCTAACGCAGTGTATGCTCCGACCGTCCACACTCACAACAACGGCCTATACAGACATAAATAAACCAGCGACTGTATTCGCCATGACACAGGCAGTCTGTGGTTTGTACTTGTTTAACTTTTGTCTAGTTTCTGAACAGATATGAGGAGCTGTGAGCTTGAGTGCTAACAGCTAACGGCTGTGTTGTTTTTCTGGGGTTCTCATTGAAGATGACGTCACGGCTCCGCCTACACTGCGTTACTATAGTTACTACCCCAGTTCCTAAACTGTAATGGAAACGCAGCATAAAGTGAGCCGGTCCTAACAAGGCCTAACGAGGCCTAGCCATACCGAGCGAGGCCGAGTAGTGGAAACGCGCCATTAGTGGCTGCGAGGCCCTAAGCGGCCGCTTATGTCAACCCAGTCTCACGGCATTTCGTGTTATTAGTCACGAAATTAATTTAATCTATTGATTCGTGTTCACCAACACGATTTTCACCTTTTTTTCGTGTCACACAGAACGATTTTAAATGCAATGTATTTCTATTGGTAGTATGTTTCGTGCCTGCAACACGTCTTTTTGTCCGGTCGGGTCTTGGAAGACCAGAAGCTGTGTGGTTCATAAAAACATGTTCTTATTCAATAGCTTACCCTAAGCCTAACCCTATCCCTTTTATTTTAAATTGTATAATGTCTGAGTTTTTTTGCCGTCAGTGAGGAAAAGAAATGGGGCTCAGAGCCTCAGAATACTGACATCTGTATTTTATGTCATCTTTTTTTCCTTCTAATTTGTTATTATTTGGTGCAGGCACGAAACATACTACCAATATAAATACATTGCTTCTAAAATCGTTCTGTGTCAGAATACTTAAATCTGTATTTTTTTAAATGTCTTTTTCCTTCTAATTTGTTATTATTTACATTGCTTTTAAAATCGTTCTGTGTGACACGAAAAAAATGGCGAAATCGTGTTGGTGAACACGAATCAATAGATTAATTTCGTGACTATAACACGAAATGCCGTGAGACTGTGTTGCTTATGTCGCTTAATGGGTCGGGCCGGCTCTGTATACTTTCTATAAAAGGTGTGGGGTTTAGGAGCTTTCTGGTCACAGTGCTGTAGGCCTGCGACCACTCAATCCTCCTATAATTTAATTGTTTGGTTCACAACCATCTACCAAAATTGTGTCTAAGGTGTGTTTGACAGTTGAGTTAACCTCATTTTGTGATTGTTTTGTGTTAAACATGTATTGAGGCATGTAAACCGTGACAGAAATCTTGTTTTTTGTCTTTTTAGCTTGGCAAATTCTCATGTTTCTCAGTTTTAAGCTTTGAGAACACACTTCACCATCCCGCTGTCCCTTCACACCAAAGAACATACAATAAGTACAATAAATCATGAGGATATACATTCAGAAGAGCACAAATCTTGCTAGTACATTAGCTTCAAATGAGCCAAACGCTTGTAAGTGCTACAAACAGAAATGAGAATAGATTATATTTGCAAAGAAGCAGTGGAAATGGGTTTTTTCAGTCTACGACGAAAGTTGTGTAACATTTCTGCTGTTATCAATGGAGAGCACGTTCCACCATTTTGAAACCAGGTAAAGCAAACATTCTTTTTTCCTCTACTAAGGTGCCGTTTACACGAGGACAAAACGGCTTGTATCTGCATAGTTTCTCTTGCGTATAGCCCTATTATTTACATGAGGCCGATAGAAACGGACCCCACAAACGATAACGGGTCCCAAGGTGGATAGATTTGCAAACGAAACTCTCTGGGGGGTCAAACGAGTCCGTGTAATCGCCTCTATACGAATATTTCCTGAAAAAATAACGATAGCCCCACCTCCCCTGCTCACTGCTGTAGCATGGCCAGTAGCCATCTGTAACGATCAACTATCAAAAATAGCTGTGTTAATTAAACGCACAAGGGGTTCTTGAATTAAATAATATTATAAAAGGCAAACCAGAATTGTTAACGCCCTATATACTCCTTAAACAAAATAAACAGAGTCAGATTTCATGCATTGATCCATTATATTGACAATTTTCCAGCCAAACAACACAAACAAATTTAAACAGTCCGCTCTGCGATACACCAAAATTGTCTTTACTGTCTAATCCAGGCCATTATTGTTCATTGCTCCTGCGCCCGTCGGCGGCAAAAAGAGAAATGTTTGTAGGCCTATTCAGGCTATAATCCACACAAAAAAAGGAAACAGAGGACCGGCGTGTCCCAGAGGAGCGATCTCACCCGGTGTTTGTAGAGAATATCTCTCTTTCTGAGCGCGTCCTCTCCACGGAGACGTGCTTCTTGGTCGGTCGATGCAATATCCACAGATTCGGTTTCTTTCAGTTAACTTCCCCGTTGCATTTGTCCATATATTTACATGCTGAGGAAATTACTATATCCCGCTGAATACCAGCAATCGCCACACACACTTCCTCCTGTCAGTAGCTACTGCTAGTGCTACTGCTACTGACCATGCTACAGATGTTAGTGCAAAATCAACAGCTCCTCTACCACAACCATCAGCAACAAGTGGACATGGAGAATTACATGAACTACATGTTGCTAAATCCACCGCGGGGCATAAACAGAAGGGTAGCCATGGCAACATTGCTCCGGGCTGCTTCGGGGTCTTCTTCGCTGCTTTTGGTGTATTTTGTGGCGGAAGTTACAGCGCCACTTACAGTCCCGGCATATGTACTACAGCGTGTCCAGCGTGTCCAGCGTTTCCAGCGGTCTCGTTTGAACAGACACGTTAAATGAAACGAATGCATGTGAACGCATACTGTGCATAAACGCAAACGTTCCCGTGTGCACAACGCATAAATGGGAAGCTTCTGCCGCTTCGATTTGCACAAACTCATACCTACCAACAAAAATCTAAGGGCCCTTCTCTTGTTGCTATGTTATATTGTCATTGATTGTTGCCTTATTACTGGTTCAAGTTATTCAAGCAGCACAACCTTGCTACAGGACGTTGATGCATTGAAGTGTTTATGCCTATAGGTTTTACAAAGTCCTGGTAGTGATATGCAGGAATTAGGTCAATGATGTCAGTCTCTGGAAAGTCTCCACTAGCCTAAAGTTTCAATGTCTGGAAAGTGTTTATATGTCCAGAAGGTTTATTGAAAGGATTTC